CTACGTAAATTTCGTTTGATGGCTCGGCGAAGACCGAGAAGCATGGTGGATACGGCAGTTGCGCCTGGATACTATGGCGACTTCCTGAATGGAGTGTAGTGGTCGCTGCGAGTGCGTATCTCGAGACCACGACTGTAAACCTCGCTGAGTACACCGGAATGAACAACGGGGTCTCTGCCGCCCTGGAACATGGGGCCGAGGACTTAGTCATCGTCGGGGACTCGAGACTCGCAATCCAGCCATCCCTAGGGGTGATCGCTTGCCGTAAGGAGTCGCTGATGGCACAACTGAATAAGCACAAGGAACTGACCGCGAGATTTCGGTCCGTGAAGTACCTACATGCTATCCGAGAGTTCAATGCAGCTGCAGACTCTTTAGCGAGCGAAACGTTGGAGAAGAAGGTGTCGACGACGGTGAACAGCGAAGACCGAAAACGAGAGTTGATGGAATTGAATCGGATCCGAGAAGTGCTCTATGAACCGTCAGCCGAAGCCTCCGAAGCTTCTGGAGAAGTTGCAACGTGTCACGTGAACTCGATACGCGTGATGTATACGCGTGACAGTGACCGTAGTAAGAATTTTTCGATTTTGTACGGGATACTGGACATGTAGCCGCGGTAACGAGGCAACAAGCCCGCGCGCGTGCGAAACAAGTACGCTTTGCCGATGAAACTTCGGGTGATGAACCAGAAGAGAGAACAGAAGGAGACGAAGCTAACGACGCCAGCAACGAAGAGTCTAACGAACTTCCGGACCAACCGAGACCTGACGCAACGGTGGTCCATGAACCGAGTGCTGACGACATCGACCCGCTAGTTGTGCAGGAAGAACGGCGCAGGCGCATTGGCACAGCCCAGGATGAGGAGTTCCGGTGGTCAAACCTCATAACGCTGCTAAAGGGAGACGAAGCGAAGCTTACCTACAAAGCTGCACGCGAAGCCTGGAAGATGGCTGACAAGTTCGTCTTAAGCGAAGATGGCTTGCTGTATTTCCTTGGTGCGAATCGTCGGTGGGGTCGCGACCGGGCCGAGGAGACGACACTACGCCTAGTCGTGCCAACAACGATGGTTCAGGAGATCCTACAGAACTGCCACGACTCGTTGGAGGGCGGTCACCAAGGTATCGTCCGAACCTACCACCGAGTCAAGGCTGACTACTATTGGATTGGCTTATTCGCCGATGTGGAGAAACACGTACGCTCGTGTCCAGACTGTAGCTGAAGCAAGAGTCGCCCGCAGCTACGTGGGTACTCCCCAGGCAACATTCTGGCCGAGCGTCCGCTACAAATTGTCTCGATGGATTTTGTGATACCCCTACCGAAGACTCGGCGGGGCAATACCGCACTGCTACTGTTTCAGTGTGCGTTCACTGGATTCGTCATGGGCAAGGCGATGGCGGACACATCTGCACTCTATGTAGCACAAGTATTCGAAGAGTGCGTGTACCGAAGGTTCGGAGCGCCGTCTCTGATCAGGCATGACCGAGACCCGCGCTTCATGAGCGAGGTCTTCCAAACCTTCGCCGAGATGATGCAGTCGAGATCTAGGGCTACGTTGAGCTATCGGCCTCAGGCTAACCGCCAGCAGGAACGCTCGGTCAAGACCGTAATGAAATCGGTGCGAGTGTACGCGGAGGACCCGCTGCAATAAGACTGGGATGAGATTGTGGAGAAGTTGATCTTTGCGATTAACAACTCGCAGGACGCCACGAGGAAGGACACGCCCTTTTACTTGGTGCACGAATGGGACGCAAGGTCCACCCTCCGAGCAATGTCCTCATCACTGAAGCGAGGTGTCGGGCGACAGTTCGATGCGTTGTCACGGCGCAGAGAAGTCAACAGGCAGCAGGGAGTTGCGTTGGAAATGGCTAAGGAGTACCAAGCAGTCGAGAAAGCTCGGCGTGCTCAAAAACATAACGAGGCTTTGAGCCGAGCAGAACGTGCTGCGCTTCCACCTTCCGCGACTGGCGAAACCTCGGAAGATGATCCGACAGGTGCAGAGGGTGACACACCAGACCCCGCACCGAAGTCTCTCTCCCAGCCTGGTGATCGCGCGTGGCTTTAGATGGAGCGCGTCAATCCAGGATTGACCAAGAAGTTGGCTCATCGATGGCATGGTCCCTTCCGCATCAAGCAGAAGGTTGACGAGTATGCGTACGAGTTGGATTTGCCTGACCAGAGTGGTTACCGGTTCTACCCTGTAGTGCATGTGTCCCGGTTGAAGGCGGTGAACGAGTTTGGTGATCGGCCGAAGGCTCGACTTGCTGCCGAAGTAACCGAGGAGACGCGACTGGATTTCGACGAGGAGTCACTCCCGGAGGATAGTTAGAAACCCGACCACCTGGTAGGCGAGTATGAGGTTGAAGCCATCTTGGATGACCGAATTCCCCTCTCGACGAGCACGGAGCGAGCCGTCCGAGAGTTCAAGGTGAAGTGGGTCGGCTATGACGAACCCTCGTGGGAGCCCGCGTCGAATCTGTCTTGTGGCGTACTATCTACGCGAGAAACGACGTGACCGAAGGTTGCAAATGGTCCAAGTCGCTGACGAGGACTACTGCATCCCTCTCAACATGATGAACTGCCGGCAGAGCTACGCAGCCTGCCTCAGCAGACGAAATATGTTACTACGGAAAGAATATTGTATATTTGTATGTTGCAGTGGACAAGACTTTACGAAGTGGAGATCACGACTGGAGAGACTATGGAGAACAGCTGAAGAAGGACAAACGACTATTGAATTGCATGGGCGAGCTAGTTATACTACGAACGAATTGTCTGAATACCCTGATCGAACTCAACCTAAACATGAAGGAACGATGGAGAACTGGAACGAAGCTTAGGCGTCCGAAGATGAGGCAACCTTGGCCAAAACGCGGAGACGCGCAGCCGGAGAAGCTTCGGCTTGCGTGGCAGCTTGATCAGCAGCACTTGGAGGCGAACGTGGTGCGTCAGCCGGAGTCTCGCTGGCTGGGGCCTCCTCAAGAGGGGCCTCCGAAGCCGCGACGCGATCTTGAGCCGAGCCCTCCGTTGCCGTTGCTGCATCTTGAGCTCCTAGCGCTTGTGTAGCTTCACCCGAAGTCGCTTGAGTATCCACGACGCGGCGAGACTCGTCCCGAGCCTCTTCCGAAGACTCTTCAGCAACCGGAGACTCGATCGCTTCAATCAGCTCCTCGACCTCCTCCTCTTCCGAGACTTCGTCTTCACCTGGCTGCCCGTCCTCCTGCAGACCGAAAGGAGGTCCGTGGAAGTTAGTGAACTCACGCACCCACGGGGCCGTAACACGGCGAGAGTCCAGCACAGGGTTGACCGTAATAGCTGTCGCGACTTCTCGAACGGTCATGCCACGCGGGACGAAGAGTGGAACCCTGGGGTTACACGGAGCGAAGGTTGTGTTGTACGGGTGCTCGGACGGCACATCGGTGACGCACCAAGCCGATCATCAGCTGAGCGAAGTTTGCGAAGCGTCGTTCCGAATGTTCGCGGAGCTCTTCGACCTCAGCCTGCACCTCGTGGTGGACGATGTCTTCCACAGCGTACCACTGCGCAGAAGAACGCGGAATAAGTCCCAAAGCCTCGTGCGCAGTTGCAGGCAGCGGGTCACCCGTGCGGCAGAAGTGTGCAGCATTTGACGAAGGCTCGTGCAGAGGACTGGAGTCGGGCGAGGACCTGAGGACCAGCTGAGTACACGCAGGGTCCGACGAAGCCCCGCTAGCGGACGGCAAAGCGGGAGTTGGCAACGTCGGAGCCACTGCACTCGAAGCCGAGGTCTCTCCGGTGCTTGCAGCCGAAGCATGGTGCGCGATGACCGAAGGTGCGGCCTGGAGACCGCCCGCCACCCCGCGTGCTTCTGCAGAGGCGGGAGTTGGTGACGGAGCAGCCCCGGCGCTGCCACCAGCACCAGACGATGGCACTGAAGCTACAGGAACTGCAGCCGAAGCCTGGGACCGTCGGGGCACCCCGCTTGCTGACGCAAAGGCGGGAGTTGACGCCGCCGAGGCCTCCGAAGCTGGCGCAGAAAGGTCGACGACGTGCCCCGCCGGGCTGAGGAATGATGTGTTCTGCAGCAAGACGCAGCAAGTTGAAGACGGTTAGACGCGATGAAGAGATCAAGCACAGTACTCAGGCACCTCGCACGAAGACTCACCTGGACGACTGGACCGAGGTCCGGGAAGGTGAAGGGCGGCGCGCTGCCAGGACCGCCAGAGTACTGCATGGCGTCGTAGCGCAGAGAGGCACGAAGGCAACACTGCGCTCACCACTTGGGACGGCTCGGGCCGAGTTGGGGGGCGCTGTGAGATCGGGAAATGACTGCGGCCGGGCGAGTTCCGGCCGAGGTCTAACTGCCTTGAGCTTGCGAGTGATGGCTGACCGAGGGCTCTGATTGTCGGTCACATTCCCCGCGCTTTAGTGCCCAGGAGATTGATAGAGACTACGGAGGGACAGGAGGGTCTCGGCGGGTCAAAATAAACCGCCTGCCGAGACCTCCGAAGTTTCATAGTGGGTACACTTTATGCCCAGTAGGAGTTCGGATTTAGGACGAAGCTTCGTCCGATTGTAGGATCAGCTCGAAAGCTCGGTCCACACTTGATATTTGTATAGACCTTAGTGGTTAGCTATAGGAGAGGCCTGACAGCCTCTAATCATTAAACAGAGCAGAATTTTCCCCCCAAGCCACACAAGGGTCAAGTCCGTCTACGGTAAGTCGCTAAGCTTAGCGTAGGGTCTGGATACACTCGGCTGCACGGGGTATGTCTGCCGGTGAGCATAAGGTGCATTGACCGAGTGTTCATCCTGGTAAGGCCAAGAGTGAGTAGGTGGCCGAGTGTTGGGAGGTATTAGAGACCTCTGTGTACAGTTGTACGTTTGACTGGGTGTGAGGCAAGGACCGCCAGTGTATTTGACTTCTAGCCGAGGCTTCGCCCCGGCGCCCCTGTAAGAGGCTTCGATTGGCCTGGTACCCTTCCTTTCTGAGGGACCACAGAGGTTTAGCGCGAAGCACGTATTATACATTGCATCCTAGCCGTGGCTCGTGGCTAAGGGTTTAACGAAGGGTATACCTACCTGACCCGCAACACACAGGGAGGCACATTCCAGCCCGTATAAGGGATCGGACCTGGTCTTCAGATTTATTATCCCGACAATCTATCGCCGACTCTTCGGAGACGGCGTGTGTTGTTGGTAGGGCTCGCCCTAGAGACTTCGGTTGATAGGGCGAGGACTCGTAAACTCGTGTTTTCCTACACGACATTACTGCGATTACGGAAGATGTCACGGCGGATAAGTTGACCCCTACGACTTCATGTGGCAACCCACCTACTTCACTTGTGAACGCTACCAAGCGCCTTTGCGCAACAACCGGTATTGTTTGAGACCGGTGATCGCGATGTGGTTCGTATTGTTCACCTCAAAGCATCTTGCTCCGAGGCATGGCGGCTAAATGATGGTGCCAACCGGGCGTTTGAGAGGCTTATCGCTACAAAGACTACTGGTCTACTCCACGAACCTCTTGGCCGAAGGCAGCGGCGAAAGGTTTCCGCCTTGCACGGCAATGCTATTAAATGGTCTTTATACCTGGCGCATCGTATGCACATGTCCTCCGCTGGTTGGATCGTCAACATGGCTTCAGCATCGTGCGAGTGTTGCTACTATTTGAAAATGGGGTACTGCTGTCATATTATTGGAGCCCGATTGATATCCGGTATTACCACGTACAGTGGGACAGGGAGTTGCATGCGGCTGAAAGATCGCAGGGTGAGAATAGCACGCCAAGCTCAGGTTAACACGGACAATATGTGTCAGCACGAAGGAACCTCACCGAATGGCCAAGATGTGGCAGGGTTGTCTGATGTTACCGCAGACGTCTCTGGCCATGTTTATAGCAACGCCCTGGAGCGTTTCAATGCCGCATACCATACCAGCATTTCGAGTCTGCTGCCAGATGAACTCTACATAACACGCAGAGGGATTCCCGAATCCAGATCACCCCTCCGTCTCGATGGCTTCAACCAGGACTATGGATTTAACGTGCAACCCCAAGTGACGTCAGCGCTTGAGCTGCTCTATCGTGTGCAATCACCTCGGAATCACGGTGGCTTCTCTCAGCGAATACTGAATGAGAAAGCTATGGACAGTGAGCAAGGACGTGTTCGGGAACCGCGGAGGCTAGGACGACCTCCGTTAGCTCGGCGCGCCTTAGAGATCCAGTACCTTCTCAATTGACACCGCAGTGAAGACAATTGATTGTAGAAATTGGTAGTGGGACTGCTCTAGCAATCGGCATGAATATGTATTCACAAGGAATAAACTCCATCTTAACCCTCACTGTAATATGCAGTTGTCTAAGCTTGATCTAACCATTAGTCGGGCCACTGTTCTCAGCAATCTGACCCAGTCATTTTATTGTGAATACTTGCGGGCCGATTCACAGGTGATCCGTACGCACGGTTCATATCAATCGGGCCGGTTCATATATCAGGATTTGCGGTTGAGATCCGCGCATTCCGGGTTTCTCGCTTCCCCCCCCCTCCCTCCCCCCTCCACCCAACCGACGACATGGGGAAGAAGACGTTAGTGCTGGAGCAATGGGAGGCTGTACAGCGTTGGAAGCATCACGGGTGGAGCACTGCTGAAACTGTGAGGATTCCGGGTGTTCTCAAACCCACGCTGTTAAGCTGGAAAAAAATACTGGAACATGCCCGAGCCTCCACCAGATGCCAACGCTCGCTACCGTATCAAAGGAGGGGGGGTGCAAATAGAGGTTTGCTCCGTATGAGTTTGATTTACTAACGTTCTATGATGGGTGCCTACGTGAGAAGAATGAAGCCACGTTCGCTGAGATGATGGAATTCTGTCTCAAAATCCCCGTGTTCGCAAAGCTGAGGGAACGCACCCAGCACACGCGTGTGCGGCGGTTCATGGACCGCTACAACCCCAAGACCGTGAAGACGGCGCCGGCTGGTGCGGCTCTCCGAGAAAGCGCACAGGTAGCTGCGAGAGAAGCCAACCAACGACCAACAAGGCTACGGTTGCTGAGCGCACTGCGGTAGACAGTGAAGCCAAGACCAGCGAACCAGGCGAAGAATCAACTTCAGAGCCCGCCGACCAATCAGGACCCGCCGACCAAGGACCCGCCGAAGGACCCGCCGACCAATCAGCTCACGAATCCCGTGGCGATTCAGTTGAAGAGTCCGGTTCCGAATCAGATGAGGTCTCGGTCAGTTCCCAGTCAAGTGCCATGGGGGCAGGACCAACAGGAACATCGGCGCCTCAAGCGACTGGATCAGGCGCTGCTGGATACGCATTCAGGCGCCGTCAGGACCCTCGCGTACCAGTCTCCGTTCCTGTGGAAGTGGGTGGTGACATGAGGCCCGTCACCATTTCCGTGCCTTTGTTTGCGGAAGACTTAACAAGCATCAGGGCAGGGAATATGGTGACGGGCGCCGTTGTAGACTACTGTGTCTCCCGTTTCGCCAAGAGAACCGAAGGACTCGTGTTACCGGTTCTAGCTGCCCTTTTCTCAGAGATCGTGTTTGCCTACGAGCGCCGGACAGAGAGGGTGCGTGGCGTGACGGAAATCACGGGTGATATGACTTGGGAAACCTTCCGGTATTTTTTGTTGCCCGTAATCTGGACGAACACTGGAGTTTACTTGTTGTCGAGCGTTCTCCAACAGGTGAAATGGTTTTCTACCACGTGAACTCTGTCGCCGGTGTGCACGAGCCGGGCTACCTGTTTGCGGAGCTCAAGTGGTTTTTCCAGGCACGACACTCTGGTGCGGCGGGGACGTTCAAGAACAGCTCAATTGCGTATGTAAGTAAGCCGCGTCAAGCCAACCGGGTCGATTGCGGTATTTATATGCTGCACTATCTGGACAAGGTAAAGTGCTACATCGAGAACCACCAGCCGCGAACGCTCATGGACGTGATGCGACTGCTAACGATTGGCCCGTTCAACAGTTCAAGCGCAGAGAAGGCGAGGGAGTCACTGCTGAGCCAAGTAACCGGAAATGCTTAGCAAAAGACCAACTGAGGTGCCTTGGATAACTACCATTTCAATTCAATCAAATGTTTGTACTGCTAGTCTTGCTTGGTTAAAGCTATATGCATCTCGCCTCCGCCAGCTCTTTCTACATTCGTCAGCTCTTACATACATCGTTGTCCCCTGTAGCAGCCCCGACGGTGCCACCTGAAGTAGCTGTGAGACGAGCTGCAAGCGCAATCGATGGCGCTACAGAATTGGGCAGCATGGACCCTGCTCTGCCGGGTAATTTCACATCACTGGAGACGACTTGAGAGGTGACAGGGCGGGAGCCGCGAGAGAGGACGTGTATCCAGCGAAGTGGCGTCCACGCAGGGGCGGCGGGGCTCTACAGACTTGAACAGAGCCGGCGGCCCCCGCGTAGTCTTGCGTGCTTGCATCCTTGGCGTGCTCGGTCTGGAATGAGTTCTCCAAAGTGGCTACACCTGCTAAAAATAGAGCCTGTCTTAGATACTCAAATGCCTACGATATGCACTTTGATAGTTCCTTTCCCTGGCGGTTGGCGCTTTCCTTGCCCCGTCTACTGCACATGTGTTTGGTTTTGATCTCTTTTACATTTTGATCGTGTCCCAAACGCGTTTTGATCGTGTACTTTACCCATCGACAGCGGGCTCCCCGCTAACTGCAGCGGGGCTACATACAAATTCCTATATTAGCCGTACAGATGCTAAAAACCAAAAACGGGCAGCTGGTACAGAAATATGCTTTTGGGATCGATTTGCATATTTTGACAAGCGTTGGTACTTTTTAGTAGTTCGTATGGAATTCCTGTTTGGAGCCCCAGACAAGAACTGCTTCACGAGCGTACTGCGCTGTGGATAGCTCCACCACCTCTAAAGGTAAGTCGACTACAGCAGTGCAATACTTGTACTTACCGTCATAAGCTGCATTATGCAGCCTGCATACTAAGGCGTATGCACGATTTTAGATCCGCTTAGATAGTATCATGGATCCCCTTTGGTAGATCATCGATCCGCTTCGGTAGTATCATCGATCTGCTTCGGTAGTATCATCGATCCGCTTGGGTAGATCATGGATCCGCATTATTAATAGAGTGTCATGCATTTGGTTGGCCTCTCATGAGCCTGCAGTCGCCATTATTTTGTCAATTTCTACATGTATCGTAAGGCATTTTACAGCCGACGATAAAGCTCATGGGTTTCACATGTACTTCTATACAGCTTACGTCTATTTTGAGGTTTACCGATAGCAATCTTTCGTGCATATCTTAGGGTACAGAAATGCATGCCTAAGTGTGAATGCATGTAGGTGGAACTTAGTGGTGGGACTTAGTAAAACAAGACACAACCTACTACTGTTCAGCGAAGACTCAAGCCAGCTCCCCGCATACTTACACCCCAGATAGCTAGCTACAGGTAGGCTACATGTATTGAAGCCGTTCATTGAACGTTAGCATTGTACCAACGTTTGTCAGTACTGTTGCGCCTGTCCTCGCTCCCCGCTGCAGTTAGTGGGAAGCTCGCTGTCGATATCACCTCCCCTGAAACGTCTAACAACAAAACTCTTCGTCGAAGTCGTCAGTCGCAGATCTTGGCCTACCGCCTTATCAACGCCAAGTAGACAATAAGCTAAGACGCCTGTTTGACCAGCGTTGTACATTTTGACACCTTGAGCTCTATTGCCTTTAGCTGGCAAGCTCCGCAGCAAGCTTAGCGAGGATCTGTCCTTGCCAAGCGGTGTCAATACGGTACCTACACCCACCGTCTGGGCTTTTCGTTTGCCTGTTCTGCTTGGCTCTGCGTACAGCAGCTCGATGCTGGCGCGACCGCGCTTCCAGCTCTGTGTGAGTGTTTGCCGACTTTGGTTGGGTAGTGTAGGGTAGAAATTGTTGATGGTGGCAAGGAAGGATATTGCCATGCTTGGTCAAGTACTTTGAGCTTCTCGGCAGCAGGGGACGACGTCACCGAATGCCTTAATGCCTTCCTCTCGTTTGTGTCAGGCAAGCGAGGCCACCCGAGTCAGTCCGCAACTGAGCGTAATTGGTAGGCGAGGAGTGCATGTATGCCATAACAAGTGCTCAGGTGAAAATGCCATTGATTGGCTAATATTAGCCTGTATGTCATAACAAGCAGTATGTGATGACAAAGGGATGCCGGTATACCTACAGAACTCCCCTGCTTACCCTCGCCTGCATAAAGTTTGATATCTCGCACAGGTAGTGCAAATCACTGAAGTCAGCATCCATGCCCATCCGTGCATAAACTCACCACGTACTGATTTAACTGAAAACGGGAGGGAAAGTGTCGACCGCGGGAAGCTTGCATGCACCCACTAGTTGCTAGATGGAAGTAGGAAATGAAAGGCTGCAAATGGACATTACATAGTGCGGTGAAGGAGTACGTGCGTGGTGTCTGCCTTCACTTGCCATTAAGCCGCAATGACCTCGCATCCCAACAAGAACGTTCGCCTGACTGTCGGGCAGAAGCTCGAGTTGTGCAAAGTTGCCAGCATGCGCATGGACTGGGCGGCGAAGGCATGGAAGGAGGTTACACCAGAGATTATTAGGAACTGTTGGGTGCACTCCTGTATCATCCCGAGGCCGACATACACTATGGCTATGCGCCGCATTCTTTGCAATTAGGCGGTAAGTTGTAATAAATCAGTACGCTTAGCCTCCTTCGCAATTCTCTTAACCTCGCAAGATTTATCGGTCCCACCTTTGTGGCTAAGGCGGGGAGTTCTGTATTTGTGAGAAGCTGTCCTGTCGTCGAATGCGTACTGTATCAGCATTCATCAGTGCACTGGATCACAGATAAAGACTTCGCCGTGTCGTCTGAGCGAAAATGCTGTGTCTTGACAAATCTCCACAGGGTTGCGCACAACACATCTCAAGGCTGTGCATTACAGCCAACCACAGCTTGAATTTTGCCCACACCGGCTATGCGAATGGACGTGAAAGCGTATTTTTCAAAGCCATACGATGCTTGTGCCGTCACTATTATACATGTGTGTCAGTGGAACCGAACAGCGCGTATCTAGCACCAAAGTGATGTGCTTCAGTGCTTCAAGCTGAAGCCAGCTGCATCGCCGTTCCAACCTGTATTGTGACTTTCACATATTTTGTCGGGTGACCTGTTAATTCAGGGGGAATTGGAGTCATAAAAGGGCGATCAACGCTTATTTAGTGCAAATTCTGCCTAAGATTGTGAGCGCTTCTCCTAACATCCGCGATCAGCATTTGAGAGCCAATCGACGGAGATACGAGCAGAATGGCATGGATTGGCGGGTAGGAAACCGCCAATCGCTCTGTTTCCGCCTACACTCCACGACAAAAAGATATGGACACCACCAAAAGTAGCTGTAACTTCGTCATTTTTTATCGTTTTAAGGTGCGGTTCGGACTAGAGTTGCAGAACACGCTGATAAAGATCTGCACGCTGCTAACACGCGCGCTTTTGCGCTTCTTCAGGTAGCTCACATATACAAAATCCTATATTAACCAAAACCCCTTACAAATGATACGACTTGGACTTTGTATGGGGCGACAAATTTCAAGTGTTGTTGTAGGGGAAGCTCCGCAAGCAGTAAAACCCCCGTGGACTCTTCCTGACTACATTGGCCTCAGCCAATCACAACAACTACACGCATCCAGGAGTCATTCTCAGAAACCCTCGGGTCTCTTCGAGTAGTCATAGTCCTCAACCACCACTTCATTACTCAGTCACAGACAACACGCAGTTGCTGCAGACTAAGTTATCCTCGAAATCACTCTTGATTTCTCGTATATCGTGCCACCATGCTGCAGTTTTATCTTTTGCTTGGTATCTACTGCATAGCCCCTAGTTGTCTCGACATCATAATATTTTACACCATTTCCGGGTCGTTCTTCCCAAATGCTCGATTCAAAACAACCAGGCCGAAAAAAGTACATTATACACGTCCGAGTTCGACCATAACAACACACGGCTTCAAAACAACCACCCGTAATGGTATTCCTGATGAGAGGGTATTCCTTACCTTGGGATTACTACCGAGAGGATCGTCTGTATTGTATAATGGTAACTATGCTGTGCAAAACAGCACATATACTTAGTTGCTATGGTAGAATATCGTGTCCGTTCGGACATCTAGAATTTCGCATTACAATATTACACTAGCGATTGACCTATCAGGAGACTTTGTCATACTTTGTGGGCCAATGGGCATTCCTAAAATCTCATGCTGTGCTGTAAGTAGCAAATCGGACAATTCGGACATATTTTGTCCGATCCTAAGAAAAAGATTTGATATGTTCATAATGAAAGCAAGACAATCTCATATTTTAAAAATACCGTGCTCGTTCGGACATATATCGATTTGGATAGGGATCCTGCAATGCATTGGAGTCGTCGTCACCAAGAAGAGCTTGGTGTCTTGCGGTCTCAATGCTGCAGGTGCACACCTCACTCCAACAGAAAAGCAATGCTCATTCACTAAGTCATTATAATAAATACGTATGGATTTTACTTTAGTATTGCGTGCTACATCTCTTAATTCGCGCTCCTCCTTGCGCACTTAACCTGGTCCTTAAACGCTAGAGCCTGTGCGTTCTCCTCAGGTCTTCCGGGTCAGGTAGAAGCGCTGGTAGCCAGCGCTCATGCCGGAGATGAAGACGTGGACTTGGGTCGCCATGTCTACGGCTTCTCTAGCTCTTCTGCCGCGCTCTTATCGACAAGCAGCTACCGCTGCACCTGCTGCCGCGCAACCGTACCCGCGTCTCGCTTCCGTCTTCTGCTGCTGCCTGGTGCGCTTGCACTAGAGGCCGCCGAGATGTTCCTCTCCTTCACAGTGCCACCTACACGGCCGCTCCGCCGTCCTGCGTAGCGCCCTTCTCCTGCTCCAGCTGCTGCCTCGTTGCCGTCATGACGTTCTCACCCTCCTCCACTTCGGCTTCTTGACCACGAGGGCCATCACCGCAGCCAAGGCCCAGCCGCCATCCTGCACGGCGTCCTCGTCCTCATCCTGCTGCTGGCCTCGAGGGCCAACACCCCGCCCGAGGACTAGCCACTGTCCGCCCCGCCTCCACGCATGACGCCCCCACTTGAGCATGCTGCTGCTGGCCCCGAGGGCCCCACCACTGGCGGCGGACGCCCGCCCGACGCCAATCCACTGTCTACGCCGCCATCGTCCTTCCTGCAACTCCTGCTGCCGCTAGCTGCGGCAGCGGACACTCCTCCCTGTCAAACCGCAGTCTATGCCACCGCCGTGTCCGTCCTGCCGCTGTGCTGCTGCAACCGCTGGCCCCGAGGCCGAGCACCTCCCCCGCCTAGGGGGCACGAGACCGAGAGCCACCACTTGCCTTTTGCTGTGTGTTTTTCAGTGTGCGCCACATTATCACTGTTAAAATTCATATATCAAATCCTACAATTGTCCGAATCCAATTTTCGGACATGAAATTGTCCGAACCTGCACGGTATGGTCAGCACTTGTACGTAAGCATGGATTCAGTGATACATACATACATCCGCTAGAACAACATTGCGCCCAATTCCGATTGCAAGATACCCATCGCGACCTATCTGTAAACCCTGTGAGCCCACATTTTGGTCTATCACTTTTAGGGGGACTCAATTGTCGCTTCGCCCCCCACAGGAAAAACGGGAGGGGTGGCGAATATTGTCCCTTGTTATAGTCGACCGCAGCGTTGCTGCGGTCGTGAACGTTATGATTGCGTTAGAATCAGTTAGCACGCAAGCTACACACGATTCGGCTCAACGCCCTCGAGCTTCTCACTCCTTTTGAGACCTTAGCCCGTGCAATCAGGAGCTATACAGCAAACTATTTTCTCAACTCGCATAATCTATCCTACCTACAGGTCGAATCCACGACTCCATCCAATGGAGCACAACAAAGTTTTTATCGTGATACAAATTCGGAGCTCCAATAGAAACGTTGTACTATGTACCAAAGGTGGAAAAAACATTTTTTCATTCTCTCACCGGCGACTTTCCATTTAGTGGGGATACATTGCATTCTCGACTGCTACATCGCATTTCTGATGGATTTATTTCATTCTGTACATTCGAAATGGCTGTTACACGCATTGCATATATTTTTCGGTTCAGGGCTTGTAGGGTTAACTGTTCGGTGCCGTACCGAAAGAATTAGAAGGGCAGCATCGAAGCAAGTTTCTGGAACTTTAACCTAGCGTCATTTACAGTATTTCTGGCTTTTAAAGGTTCGGACAAGGTTCACGGCAGGTTTAATCTTTATTACCCAGCCTCAAAGCGGCTCGGTCCAAATCCCACGCGTGGGCTCAAAAACAATAGTTGTAGATAAGACGTTTTCACTTCCAAAGCAATATAATTGATTCTAAAGAGCTCTAAATGACACAATGAAGTACAAGTGACTAGCCACGGACCCCCAGAAGCAACAGCAATTATTTATCAGATTATAGTTAGTGTGGAAAGTCGATTTGCCTATCTACCTCTAAAATGATACCGGCAATGGCCCAAGCTCTATAGACACATTGAAAACAGCACAGCAAGCCAAATGAATTCGCGTGATGCATGCACTGTTGGGACATAACTGATTGTAGCCTTCAACAGCCATAAGGCGTCACCTTGTTGTACCCATGACGAAATTGTAGGGATTCCGACTTTGGGAGTAGATCAGTGGCCAAGTAACGCTCTATCGAGTTGGTAGTGCTTACAGTAGAGTCTACACAGTATTTGAAGTGTTTATGTGGTCGGCTCTTGCTAAGTTTCACCGCCTACCACCATTAGAACGGCTAAGAAACAAACAGAGGTCCGAAATAATAATTGCGATCCAATAAATAATTGAGTTTTACAATACTAATTTTTATTATTGGAGATCAACGATTCCAATACAATACAGTATTGTACCAATTATTGAGAGGTTAATATGAAAAAAGGTTGCACGGGCACCAAACATAGCAAAGTACTCATAAAAGGTCTACATATGCAACGATTAAGGTGCAGTAAAAGCCATAATGGGCAATCAACATCTTTACAAACCAATATGTACGCAAGTCAGAACATCAATGACGTCCAGATGTAGTGAATCCCGCCGAACACATCGCATCAGGGAACGGCAGCGGATGGCAATCCACTAGGGACTTGAGCTTTATGTTTTGATATAGTGTGTATGCCTTTTGAGGCAATTGTAGGAGAAAAAGCGAAGTGGGTCCGCGAAGCAGTTGATCATACAAAATGCTTAGTCTGTAACTCATATCAGGTGCACACACTATGAAGTGTGTCTGTGTGAAGCTTGGTCATGATGCGGTGAACCCGTTACCTGTGGCTGGCGTGGGTCACCGCTGACATGCTATCGAGCCCTTAACTGCGGTGATACCAAGGTGAAACCCTGGAATCCACTACACCAGATTAACGATATATAGCAAGATCCAGATATATCTCGCTCACGTATTACTACCGGTAGGTTGTTTAAGCATCCACCATGCAAAGTTTTCTAAAGCAACACCCCAAAAAGTGTTTCTAAACGACTGTAATCATATGACGCACAGAAAGTGGTTTATTTCTTCAGTAGAAATGCCTCAAATTGAAGAGCAGTATATTTATATTGCGGCAATTTTTATTATTTCTCATTGCTGAATTGTAATTTTTATTACGGTCTGATCTCGTACTCAATTCAATATAGTACTGTAATTTCGGACCTCTGGAAACAAAATGCCAGCTATAATAGGTCATTTTTTGGCCCAATCTTAGCCGCTGTTGCTACTACTGCAGTACTTGCTTAATGCATTCCTTCCCTTATACGTAGAGGTACACCTCGATTATGCCAGCACCGATTCTAAAAACATACTTAGCAAAATGTTGCGATCAGGTCGCTATTTTCTCGACCAAAATCTTTGTCCGGACATTTTTTCGTGAAGACGACTCCGTTTGAAGCCGGGCAAAAGGCGCTGAACAGATCTCTATTTATATGCGGAAGGGTATCTTTAAATATGCCAGACAACAATAGTATCGGCGTTTTGAAGTGAGCCCACGCGTGGGCTCAATCGGTAATAAAGGTTCAGTACAGAAGTCGCTATCATATATATATTATCTAGGTGATTTAAGTACAGAAGCCGCTATCACATATTTTGCACCTAGGTGTGAAGCTTACCTTGCGAGGTTTGTCTGGCATGGCACAAAGCAATTTGCCATACCACGCGAACCTCGACGCCGCTTCCACAACGATGATGAAGACAGCGAGGCGCACATGGACGCTCTCGCGCGATGCCTAAAAGGCCAAGAGCGCGCCTGAGACCGGCTGATCGCTCGTCTCCGACGCCTCGACGAAGAAATCGAGGCGATGGAGCAATCCATGCAGCGGCTCGCTACGGCATTGAGGGCGATCCAGCACCAACGCCTCCGCCACAACACAGTCGCCTGAGAGGCGCTCTCCACGAACTCCTGAGTTTGTCGAGGCCTACGGAGACCATGACGACGACCTGTTCGATTCCGACTAAGTCCCCTGCCAAATCGGATTGTCTGAAATTGCGTTAACAAGAATACATGTTAGTCAGTAGTTTTTCGGTTAATTTCGACAAAAACTTCAGACAAGTGTTCATTGTCCAAATTTATCTTACTGGATATCTTTTAGCAAATCGTTCTTTTTTGGTATTTTATTTTTCATTCGGGTCATTTATTTAATTTCAGTTATCGTTACACATCCACCGTGCGCACGCACAGTTACTTCGCTCTGAATGGATTTTACATAGGCACAAACACGTTCGACGGTACAGAGTGTATGAATGTACACGCATGGTGCTGGAAAAATTATAATGTATACAAATATGTACGAAAATGTTCAGAATAAATTATAGTGTGTTTGTCTGAAAAAATCATAGTATGCTTGTCTGAATATCATATAGTGTGCTCGTCTGTCTGAAGCGGCTCTCTCCACCACGACATCGATCCCGATGCGCCAAACCGCTTTCCGCTCGTTGAACTATCATTCATTCTCGGTTTTTCCGGCAACCTCTCAAGGCCTACAAACAACTCTCGGCTGTTCAACACGCACCTCCTCGTCAACTTCTGGCTCCGTCCTCGTCTCGGATACCGACAGCGCCTGGCATCGAGGGGAGGATCGCTACGTCACCCCGCTGTGTGTGGACCGCTAGTGCGATGGTCTTCACTAGGGGATCTACGGAGAATAGCCCACGATCGAGCGGCAGTGAGGATTTTACGGGAGTCGTAACGCGTCGTCGTTCCCGAGCAACTCGCCGGCGTCAACGCAGTGAAGAGACCAACACGACCGCGGCTAGCCCCGGTGGTCCAGGCTTGGATGCACCTTCATCGCACGATGACAGCAGCGAGGAGTACCAGTATGAAGGCAGCGACAATGATTCTGACCCAGACGATTCAGACCAAGACGTGTCGTCGGAGATTTCAGAAAGCGAGAAGGCCGCCCCAGCAGTACGACAAAGCCAGGGACTGGCTATTGATGGGACGCTCGAACACCCAGTACGCTTTGAGTCTCTAGCCGAGGCTCGAGGGGTTCTCGATGGGCTCGAGAACGCAAGATCGCGCTGTCAAACAACAACAGTGTCACCAAACGTCTCTGGTGTAGTTCCCATGTCGATTGCACAGCTGAGGCACGTATCACTCTGGATCCCGACGGCAAGATTTGGTTGTCGCGTAGTGGTATGTGGCACCGATTGAGACGCACCGGACGGGGATGCACAAGCCATTACTTCCGGAGAACGACGGTTTATTGCTGGGAGGCCAAGGTCCCAAAAAGTGTTTGAACACCCTACGCATGAAGTACGGTCACTCCGAAGAAGTTCTCGCCTTGCTGCCATCAGCTTCCCAAGTCAAAAACAGAGCACACCGACTGCGAAAACGGGGGGATTTCGACATTACCACCTACGCTGATGTCATGGTTTGGGCGACGCCAAGACTCTGCACAACCCCAGCAGCATTTTTCGGTCATATGCGCTACAATCGCGAGCGGGACGCTCGGCGCATTGCTCGCCAACCCTTTGAGTTTCAAAATGAGCTCATAGTGCTGGACTGCTTCGCCGACACAATCGACAGTGGTGACACCTCAGTGCGCGATGGAAATCGGGTCGGAGCCTATCCAGCACTTTGCCGCTGGATCAGTTTCCGCAGAGGTTCTAGAAGCTGGTATACTCCTCTGCAACGACAAACGCTTCCCGACTCACAAACACAAGTCGCGCAGAGCAATCCGCAACATCCAGGCGAATTTCTTCAACCAGAGATACTATATCGTCCGGGACGACAATGTGCATGGATTGAAGGTGAACGCGAGCCGAACAAAGACCTATGAAAGCTCGCTCAGCGGATTCCTTAAGGATGATGAAATTGTGGAGAATGTCCAGCTTCGATATTTCTCACTGCACAAGGTGACGGTGTTGGATCGACTTCCGTATGAGCACGACTGGAACTCTCCGTTGTGGTCCCTGGAGGAGATCAACACCATCAGAAAAAAAATTCAAGTGTGACTGCAAAGATTTCTACCAGACGGGGTGGATGTGTGCTCATGTACTAGCATGCCTTCACCTCGTTGACAATCTTGATTTGACGGTGATGCTTCGAGGGCTCCCAGCTCGCAGGCCTCCCGGTAGACCGCACAAGAAAAGCAAATGCCTCCAGCGAGATGGTGTGAGAACATCCTAATACTCCGTCGATGCCCTGGTGAAACGACTTGTGGACAAGCCAGCAAGTGTTATCAACTGGAGCGTGCTAATCGAAAAGACAGTGGCCGAGGCGGATGACGAGGAGTCCCAGCGGGCCTATGTTGGCAAGATTAACCCCCCCTTCACTCGTGGAGGAAAGCGGTTCTGGGAGATCGCGTACGAGGATCGAAATGAGGTGACTGTCCTGGAAGTTGAAGCTCTTGCAAGGACGATCAATTTCTCCTTCCAAATGGGGGACAACATTGTTCCCAACTAATGCATATCTTCGACACAACAGCGGTAGCGTGAAGCTTCAGCAGAATAGCAAGTGGACGACATATGGCTAGATGTAGTGAGCACTTCGGGTGCTACGAACTAGGGACCGAGTAACCCGGATATTTGTTTTACATTTTCAATAAATGCAATATAACCCATGCGAATGCAATAACACCATCGAAATGAAAACTAGCCAATAATAAATGAAAAACAGACTTTTTGACCATAAAAAAAAGTAGCCGCTGAAAGAATGAAAAAAAACCGCGCCCACCAAAGATCGGTAGGGGGTTGTGGCGATTATTGTCTCCCGTCGATGACGATAAGGTCTATATTGGACAACTGGAACAACACGGTCACCGAGTCCTAACAGCTCTACTTTCGTGGGTTTACTCTTGGCCGATTCTTATGATGTCGGGGTCTGCCAGCAACTCACGCGCATCTCCGCTTCGGTTGCTCACAGCACCTCCTAGGCCCCCAACTGGCTCTTGTTTGTACTTAGTGCACGCAGGTAAACTTACGCTTGCGTAGGAGGTCGAGGCAACGCTGACGACAATAACGCGCACTACTTCACTTGGATGCTCAGCTGACGTTGTTTTTATTGTGTTCCTATCACTCACTAGAGCTAGTGCTAGCTTGTTCGCGCGAAATCTATTGATTTTGTTCAAATTTCTCGAAATGCATAACCAAACGCATACTATTTCTCTCTCTCTCTCTCTCTACGAAACACTGCACTTTTATTTTTTCGCGTGAATAGTAGATTAAGCTGTGCTGCATGCGCTAGAAGACGTGGCGCGCTGTATTTCAGTTATGCCGTAGCTTATGAGCCCTGTTGTTCTCGTCATCACCTTAGGCAAAGCTCAGCTTGCATTTCTTTAGAAAGGTCTTGTACGCGCACCAAGTACTATCAGCGCTTGTGCCACGCCAAATACCAGGCCCAAGGATGAAGGTTTCCTCGGTGACTGCGCTTGGCCGAATTCTGTGATTTATTCACTTTAGAGCAAGAGGGGTCCAAGACGAACCCAAAGCGAAACAGACGCACGAAAAGGAGCAATCCGTTAGTTGTTATTTCATTGAATTTGAATATATGTTGACTTGCAGTGAGAAAATGCACCGCTGGGCTTTAACGCCCAATAATTCGGTGGAATTGCCTACTACTTGAAGTAAAAGGCAAGTGTTGCCGAATCGCGATCGTAGCATGCTCTTGTGATCGTTCAATTTTCAACCTGAAGAAGCGAGAGTAGTTCTACCTTAAGGTAAGGTGCCAGTTGCGTGCCTACAACCAGCTCCGTGCCTACTTGTTTTAGCCAATTAGCATCTTCTCCTTGTTAAACTCTCGTAGTCTATTGGTAGATTTTTCCAGCGTCACATGCAATTTCCGGTGATGAGCCTCCTAGGATTTGCATAGCATACAAAACTGCTATCAAAAAGAGGCAGGAAACTGGCAGCTCACTCCAAATCAACAAGCTTTTCAAAACAATAACAAGAAGTTCTGCAACGTTTACACGGACCAGCGTGAAGTACATAAATTCAGCCCAATCGCGCAGATTTAGCGGGTGCAATCAGATTTCAGAATGGACAATTCAATGAAAAGTTATGCCACAGCAAGTCCGCAAGTTCGAAGGACGGCACGAAACTGGCAGAAGACCTTACTAGCAATTTACTAACGCAAACTAATGTACACAAGCAGCCCGGGGCCGCGCCGGACAAGTTGTTGTATCGCACCTAAGCGGGCTGCCCGCTCTGATTTTCCACCAATGGGCTCGTCTCTCTACCCGCCCATACTCAACCCAAGTCCCCGCCAACAACGAGATCTCGCCAATAGGGGTTTCACTATACCGTAATCGCGCGCGGCCAAGACCAAGCTCCAAGGCTCCAAGGCTCAGCTAAGCTCCTCGCTCCGCGTCCGCGCCCCTCGTCTGTGTGAGTCCGTGTGCGTGCCGTCAGCGTCAGCGTCAACGTCTTCTCCGTCCCCTCCTCCTCCTCTTTCGCCCCCCATCACTACCAGCAGCATGGACGTCTCCCCGTACGACGCGGCCGAGGCCGACCCGTCCGCCGCCAGCCCGCGCGCCTCTTCCTCCTCGGACGCCTACGCCGACCAGCAGCACAGCGGCCCCGTGAAGCTGTTCGTGGGCCAGGTGCCGCGCACCATGGAGGAGGACGACTTGCGCCCCGTGCTCGAGGTCTTCGGGCCGCTCGAGGACCTCGTCATCATCCGGGACAAGATCACGGGCGCGCACCGCGGCTGCGCCTTCGCCTCGTACTTCACGCGCGACGCGGCCGAGAAGGCCGTGCAGGAGCTGCACAACAAGGTGACGCTGCCGCAGAGCATCAACCCGCTGCAGGTGCGGCCAGCCGAGGGCCAGGCCGGCGCCTCGCAGGAGCACAAGCTCTTCATCGGCATGATCCCCAAGACGGCCGACGAGGCGGCCATCCGCGAGGTCTTCGAGCTCTTCGGCACAATCGAGGAGGTCTACATCCTGCGCCACCCGGCCACGGGCCAGAGCAAGGGCTGCGCCTTCCTCAAGTTTAAGGAGCGCAGCTCGGCGCTCGCGGCCATCGAGGAGGTTAACGGCAACGTCACGATGGATCGCGGCACCTCGCCGCTCGTGGTCAAGTTCGCGGACAGCCGTCGCCAGCGTCTCCAGCGGGCGCGCAACTTGGCGGCCGCCGCCAACGCCTACTGGCCTCTGCCGCCCGGAGCGGGCCTGGCGTTCCCGCAGCTTCAACAGCTGCAGCAGCAGTATATGCAGCAGATGCAGGCCTTCGGGGCACAGGCCGCGGCCGGATTGAACCCGGCCGTGGCTGGACTCGGATCGCCTGTCGAAGCTACGGCCGGCGGCCCTGGAAGCCCCACCAACTCGTTCATGTACTACAACCCGTACGGCTTCGCTGCCGGCGCGGCCGGACCCTACGGATTTGGCGGCCTGCCCAATGTCGGCGGAGCTGGCTTCGACATCCAGGCGGGCGGCCTGGGCGCTGGGTTGGATCTTCAAGGACAGGGCGTGGAAGCTGCCGCCAAGGCTTCGCGGACGACCAGTCAGCTCGAGGGCCCGACCGGTGCCAACCTGTTCATCTACCACTTGCCGCACGACCTGACAGACGCCGACCTGGCCACTGCGTTCGCGCCGTTCGGAACTGTTATCAGCGCCAAGGTGTATATGGACAAGATCACGGGCGAGAGCAAGGGCTTCGGCTTTGTTAGTTACGACAGCGCGGATGCGGCCGACGCAGCTATTGCTAGTATGAACGGCTTCCAGATCGGCACCAAGCGACTCAAGGTCCAGCACAAGCGCATTCACCAGAGAAACGACTACCTCGGCGGTTCCAGTAGCAGTCTTGTTGGACACGACGATGAGCTCGCGGGCATGGAGTACCACCACCAGGCGCAGCAGGGTATCCCCGGCCTGGATGATGGTCTGCACCCGCACGATGATGACAGCGGCGCCAAGTCCCCGAGCAGCGCTGCGGAAGGCAACAACGGCGTCGACACGTCATTAGAAGAGGCCGTGCAGAACCTGCGCATTGACGCGTAAGCCCGAGATCTCCCTCCCCACGGTGTGTTTTTGTGACTCGTCGATCATGTCAGTCAGTCAGTCTGTCAGTCGGTTGGTTGGTGGTGAGTTTTGAGGCGTGAAGGTGTACAAAATGCCGTGTACAAACAGCGATGCGATACTGAGATCAGAAGGACACGCATGAGACACGAGAAACTGAGAACCTTGCAAGTAAACGAGCATCACGAAGAGAAAGACAAGCAAGCAAGCGACGAAGAAGAAAGAAGAAGAGAAAGAGATGTAGCAAGCTTGCAGCGATAGCAAGCCAGCGAGCGTGTGTTAAATCATTGTGTATTCACTTGCACTGCTGTCTTTCTTACTCAACGTTGTCGCTCGATTTTCTTTTTACTTCAAGTTTGTGCGACGATTTCTCCTGCAAATACATATATGCAACAGTATCCGCACACTTTACGACCACTTCGCGAGCAGGCCGAAGATGGCATAGCCGGCCACCAGTGCAATGGACTTCTTCAGTGTGGCCGAGTCCTTCTGCTGGTGGCCGTGGCCCTCGTCGCCGCCTCCGTGGCTGTGGCGCGGGAACTCCTGTGGGATGACCTCCATGACGGCCACGTAGATGAAGGTGCCGGACGCCAGGGCCACACAAATGCCCGCCGCGGCCGAGTCTTCCGACGAGTCGGCCGCAATGATCCAGCCGACGACGATGCCGATGATGCTCATGAAGGAGAAGACGAACATGTAGAGCATGACGTAGGTCACGGGCATGGCGCTCTGCACGAGGCCCGAGCCCAGCGCGAAGGCCGCCAGCCCCTTGTGCATGATGATGGCCATGAAGACCCCCCACGCCGTCTCCGTCTGGGCGCCGATGCCCAGTCCCTCCAGCACCGAGTGGAAGGACAGCGCAATGAACAGCACAATGGCCACGGCCAGCGACCCGGCGTCGGCCTCATCGGCATGGCCCGGGCCGTGCGAGTGGCCCGCGTGGCTGCGGCGCACGTTGCTACCCGCGGCCAGGGCCTGTTCTTCGTCGTCCACGTCCAGGTCCCCCAGGTACGTGTCGTCGCTTTCCGTGGCCCCGCGGAGCTCCTCGTCGTCCTCCTCACTCTTGGCGGCCACGTAGGTGCCGGCCTCGCCGGCCGAGCTGCTCATCTTGGCCTGCGCGGCCTGTTCCAGCAGCAGCAGGCCCAGGAAGCCCATGGTGCAGAACATCTCGGCGTACGGGAACTCGTAGCGGCCCTCGTCCTCCGTGGACCAGCGGCGCAGCGCCGGGTTCTCCACGGCCGAGTGCAGCAGGTGGAAGAAGCCGCCGGCCAGGAAAACGCCGCCCGAGAACGCGCTGAGGATGCTCAGCGTCGGCGACTTGTCGTGTCGCGACGCCAGCAGCGCCGGCGTCAGGCCGCCCACGAGGCCCACGATCCAGATGCACCCGATGGACACGAGCTTGAAGACCGTCACCGGATCCATGGTCACTTCACCTTTGGGCGAGATCTGCACGGCCCGGTCACAGGTACCATTTTAGCGGTACCATCGGTCTCTCGGTCGAGCGCTGGTTTTGCGTCCTTAGCAATGAGATCTACCTTGCCACGTACTCGTGGCGTAGTTGGCCCTCAGCAAGGTAGCTCTAGTAAGACAACTATGCTCGTGGGCTTAGAAGGACTCTAGAAGATATCCTGGATGGCCTTGATTTGCATAGAGAGAAGAGAATGAAATTTATTAAAAGGCTATAGACTTGTAGAGCTGGCTAAAGAAACCTAATGCTGCTGCTGAGGGGTCCATACAGGCGTAGCTACAGAGAGATCATCGTCGTCGATGGGTTCGGGGAAACCCAGACGGCGCAAAACTGTCTTTATATCGTCGCTGACGAGATGAAACTCGGCCGATCGGCGATGGAGATGCTGGTAGTGTTGCCGAAATGAGAAGCCCAAGCGAGGAATGCTGGGGCTGACCACGCGAACACCGTTGAAATGTATGTCATTCCGTAGGCGCCACAGAGCGTGGAACACAATAACCGAGTGGATGCGCCATACCTTGGCATCGGCCAGGCACATAATATGTGCACTGCATCGTGCAGCGGGCTAGAGAAAGCGTATAAGCAGCCACTCGTGCCAAATTTCAGCCCCGTGAATAGTTCAGACGCAGACACATATTGCATGTATCCATCGGGTGTTTCATGTATACGGCAGCGTCGAGTTTGCCGTCCACGTTGACAGGGGGCACCGTTCATATACACGAGCTACCCTCATAATGCCCAGTGTCACTTGGGCATTCGACGTGATTTGATTATAAATCGACGGCAGTCCGCGGTATATGAACAGAGTTGGGGAACGCCAAATCGGAGTAGCATCCTATTTATATATAACAAAACAAGGTCTCAGCCAGTTTTGACCCTGGTTTATGGATCCGGCGTCATCAGTATCGAAAGCAGAGCACTCAGCACGGGGTGCCTGCCGCCTAGACATGAGCTTCCCCCAGCTCGGCTTGTTTCAGGGTACATGCGCCGAAGCTGCCTAGCTGTTGAGCTGCCAAGCTGACCTGCGTACGCCTCGCACCTCAGTTCAGCTCACCGCACATTCGAAAAGTCTTTGAACACCGCAAGCAACCACTTCACCACTTGAACCAACACCCACCCACCCTCACAGCCTCCATGTCTGCCTACACCAAGTTCGCCATCATTGGAGCCGGCGGCATCGGCGGCACCGTCGCGGACGAGCTGCTCAAGAAGGGCGCGGCTGTCTCCATCCTCACGCGGGACGACAGCCAGGAGGCGCTGCAGGCCCTCAAGGCTCGCGGCGCCAAGCTCTTCAAGGTCTCGTACACGGACGAGGACGCCGTCAAGAAGGCGCTGACCGGCAGCGAAGTCGCAGTGAGCGCCGTGTCGCCCTACCACCTGGACGTACAGCCGCCTGTTGTGCGCGCGGCCAAGGCGGCGGGCATCCAGCTCTTCGTGCCGGCCGAGTACGGCGTCAAGGTCACCGAGGGCCCCAACGCCTACAAGAAGGTGGTGCGGGACCTGCTCGCCGAGGTGAACCTGCCGGCCACGATCTTCTACACGGGCATCTTCGCCGAGTTCCTGCCGATCTTCATGGACTACCACTTCGGCGACGGCTACATGAACGTCGTGGGCAAGGGCGAGACGCCCTACAGCATCACGTCGCGCAAGGACGCCGGCCGCTTCGTGGCGCACGTGCTGTCGACAGCGCCCAAGAGCGCGCTCGAAGGCGCCAAGCTGCCGATGTTCCGCGTACAGACCCGTCCTATGAGTGGCGCGTTGCCCACAGCGTCGAACATTGTCGCCTTTGTCGGTTGTCAGAGCGTCGATCAGAATTAGGTTGGGCTTGGCTGGTACTAGTACACACAGCGTGTGAATAGCCAGTGTATTCCCGATGTTCAGGACATCGATCAGTGTCCTGAAGTCGTTTCCTGCATGTTGGGTACGCGCATTGCTGGCGTCCGTCGTGGTCGAAGCACTTGCCGTCCGCGCCGTGACAGTTTTAAAGCATCCATCGGTCGAGCAGATTCTCCTTCCTCCATGATGTAGGCACTTGCCCTTCCACGTTGGAACTTTGGTACAGCCATCTTCGGAGCATCGGGTGCCGCCACCATGACTGCCGCACCTGCCCTTCGACTGGACGGCTGACGTGCAGCCTGGTGTAGAACATCTTCGCCGTCCGCCATGAGCCATGCACTTTCCGTAAACACCGGCAAGCCTGGTACAGTCTGGCTGCGAGCATCGCTTGCCCCCGCCGTGCTGAGCGCAGTACCCTCCTTTCAAGCGCCCTTTGATGCAACCAGGATACGAGCAGAATTTCCTGCCACAGGGGGTGCGTCCAGCCTTGCCTTTTATGGGACGTCGGGGTTGCTCATTGTGATGAGCCTCCCTGTCTCGTCTTCGGCAACACTTCGTACATCTAATTCGCCTCTTGATTCATGCTGAGAAGCGGCTATCGGCATCACGATCTCCATTGAAGCCAGCCCGTCGAACACGAATACATCCCCGCCCACTTTCTTGAATAGATCAAGATCAGCCTCCACGAGCACTCCTTGTCCTTGGGCTGATGAGAAAAGCAAAAGACGCGGGATGCTAAATCCGGAACTCTTGCTATTTACAGCAGCTGACGGGATTTCTTGAGCAGCATTCTTATGCGGGGAGTAAATGCGGATGTTGAAGTGGACAACGTCATTCATGGCTGTAGAAATGTGTTGTTGGGCGTCTTCAGATGAAGATTCACCAAACACTTCAGGGCTGTCTAGCAAGTATCGAATTTGTCTCCGCCTTGAATGTCCTTGGTAACGTTAGTCGAATATCTCGATTCTGCGCCTCGAGCGTGCTCACAAACAATGCCACAGACAGACCGTCACGACACGGTTGTCGAAACCAGTCATCGTTGCCTTCACGGCAACGATAATGGTCGTCATTTCGAATGCAGAACTTGTACGTATACGATTCAACCCAGAACGGTACAGCATACATATTGCAATCATGCCCCCCCCCCCCCCAGCAGTGCTCTCCATGTATGCTCTTCTAACACGCATTTCCCTCGTTACCTGTAGCGAACTCGTTATCTTGGTTGACAAGCCAGCCGTCATTTGTTGCTGTTCCGCATAAAAAAAAATAGTAAGATGCATGTCACGGTGGCTCAAACTTGCTCCACCATCATTATAACGGGAAGCTAACTTTGAAGTGGTGCTGGCACGCAAATGCAACGACGGCATCGACAACTCGGAATGTTATAGCGAGGAGTAAGCAAACGCTTCCTATTGCATATACATTGCGACACTGGGCCTGGTTCCGTCATGCTTTTCCGTCGCAAGAAGTGCGTCGGGCTTCATGAACTTGGGGAAAAGGGCAACTTCCTAGCGAAATGTAGCCATCTGACGCAATCCGCACCTGCGACGTGTGAGCGCGGGTGTTCAAACAAAACTCCGAGCTAAGATGGCTCAGCCAACGCTTGTCGTGCACTCTTCGTCTGCAGCAAACATGCACACAATCAGCTCTTGTCCCACCATCTCCAACCTGGCCGTTGATTGGCTGAAGGAACCTACGTGGCGCACACCACCCGATCTCCGATCTTCAGCCCTGACGTCACACAATCCAAAAAGCTCCCAAGAGCTCAGCAAGGAAGACCCCCCCCCCTCTTTTCCATTCAACTCTCTACAGGATGAGCACGGACGTGGTGTACGACTACGTGGTGATCGGCGGCGGCAGCGGCGGCATGGCCTCGGCCCGCCGCGCCGCCACGTACGGCGCCAAGGTGCTGGTGGTGGAGCGCGGCCGCGAGTTCGAGGGGATGGGCCTCGGCGGCACGTGCGTCAACTTCGGCTGCGTGCCCAAGAAGGTCATGTTCAACGCCGCGGCCCACGTGGAGCACCTGGCGCGCAACAAGGACTACAGCATCAACACGGCCGCCAAGGACTTCGAGTTCGGCGACTTCGACTGGGCCAACATGAAGACCAAGCGCGACGCGTACATCAAGCGCCTCAACGGCATCTACGAGCGCAACCTGGGCAACGCGCAGGTGGACCACGTGCAGGGCATCGCCAAGCTCGTGGCCAAGGACAAGGTGGAGGTGGCCGGCAAAGTCTTCACGGGCAAGCACGTGCTCGTGGCGCCCGGCGGCGTGCCCAGCGTGCCGGACCTGCCCGGCATGGAGCACGTGATCGACAGCGACGGCTTCTTCAAGCTGGAGCAGCAGCCCAAGAAGGTGGCCGTCGTGGGCGCCGGCTACATCGCCGTGGAGATGGCCGGCATCTTCAACGTGCTCAAGAGCGACACGACGCTCTTCTGCCGCTTCGACCAGGTGCTGCGCAAGTTCGACCCGATCGTGCGTGACCTCGTGAACGAGGAGATGGAGAAGGCCGGCGTCAAGTTCGTGCGCAACATGCGCGCCGCGCGCGTGGAGAAGCAGGCGGACGGCAAGCTCACGTTCGTCGTCACGATCAACGGCGAGGAGCACAAGTTCCCCGACTTCGACGCCATCCTGTACGCCGTCGGCCGCGAGCCGCGCACCAAGGACCTCGGCCTGGAGGAGGTCGGCGTCAAGCTGTCCGAGGGTGGCTTCATTGAGGTGGACGCCCAGGAGAACACGTCCGTGCCTGGCGTGTACGCTATTGGCGACGCCACGATCACGGGCTGGGAGCTCACGCCCGTGGCCATCGCCGCCGGCCGCCGTCTGTCCGACCGCCTCTTCGGCGGCGAGAAGGACGCGTGCCTGAACTATCACCAGATCCCGACCGTCATCTTCAGCCACCCGCCCATCGGCACGATCGGCTACACAGAGCCCGAGGCCGTGGCCAAGTACGGCGAGGAGAACGTCAAGTGCTACACGAGCAAGTTCGTCAACCTGCTGCACTCGATGGCCGACCCGGAGCGCAAGGGCAAGACGGCCATGAAGCTCGTGACGGTGGGGGAGCAGGAGACCGTCGTGGGCGTGCACGTGGCGGGCGAGGGCGCCGACGAGATGATCCAGGGCTTCGGTGTCGCTGTCAAGATGAACGCCACCAAGGCCGACTTCGACAACATCGTGGCCATCCACCCGACGGCCGCCGAGGAGCTCGTGACCATGGCCCCGTGGGGCATGATCAAGGACAAGATCGTGCTGTCCCCCACGCCGGCGCGCCCGGCCCCGACGCCCTAGCAGTAAGTAGATACGCTGGCCCATTCATCGCTGCAGCCGTTTGACGTGAGGCGAATTAAATAAAATGCAACCTTTGACGATGCACCATACTCAACACTGCCGCTTGATTGCCAAAGTTCCCATCAAAGTTCTTTTGACCCAGCCTGAAAGAAATTCCGCCAGCTACTGTAAATTTAGTTTGAGTTATCCGTTTTTTTCTTCTTCTTACGAACGAGTTTTCTCACTACAACTAAGTTCCGGATTTAGCACTGAGCGTCCCGGGTCGGTTGCTTTCCTCAACCGCTCAAAGGAAAAAGTGCTCCTGAAGGCAAGGGAATGGGTGGGGACGTGTTTGTGTTCGACGGACTGGTTTCGACGGAAATCGTGATGCCGATAGCCACCGCCCAGCATGGGTCAAGGAGCGAATTAGACGTACCAAGTGCTGTCGAAGACCGAGACAGTAAAGCTCCCGGCAAAGGCAAAGTTGGTCGCACTCCTGGTGGCAAGAAGTTCTGCGCGTATCATGGATGCGTTAAGGGGCGCTTGATAGGAGGGCACTGCGCTCAACACGGCGGGGGCAAGCGATGCTCGCCGCCAGACTGCAACAAGTTGGCCGGCGTTTTCGGCAAGTGCCTGGCTCATGGCGGTTGGAGGAAGTGCTCCGTACCAGGCTGCACGGCAGGCAGAGGTCGCAAACAGTATGCACCGGCTTACCCGGACCGCCCGGCAGATGGCACCGGGTACCCGAATCCGCCCATGTGGGCCTTGTCTGAAGTTCGGGTACCCGGACCCGTCCGTAGATCCGAATCCGTTCGGATACCCGAAAAATCGGTCCGCCCGAAGTTGCGGGAAGGCATGTCCAACATGGATATGATGCGGAAATGCCATTTCGCGGTATTCACGGTAAGCTTCTAAGCTAAGATTTGCCTCGATCTAGCCTTCCTCCTTTAGGTGATCGCGGAGTTATTGTTGATCTAACGGTACGGTCATATGTCGAACAGCCTACGGCACTGCGTGCATGTATCAAAACAGCCCAACATCACAGGTAGCGGCCAGAGCGCTGTTCAGTAGATGACAAAGGTAGCATAACTATAAACTTGTGATAGTCTTCACTTCGATCTGCACGTGCTTCGCTCTTTGGCTCTGGCCAATACCTGAATAATCTGGATGGGAATTCTTGCACGGTTCGGCCCGAACTTCGGATACCCGAACCGATCCGAGGCTGCTTCAAAACTGGATATTTATCACTACTGACCTTGATTTCGTCGTACTTTATCAGTAGTGACCTTGAATTCGAATTTCGGCCAATGAGAGAGAGAGGTGCGTGCGATAATCTTCAGGTAACGATTATGTAATCATAAATTGTCAAAACGTGCTCTACTAAATTGTACTTCTACCAAAATGTGAAGCCAAGTTTACACAAGAAGCGTATAAAAAATAAGAGAAAAAACAACTTAAGCCCTGTACAAATTCGTTTATTCCAAATGATGCCTACCATGTTGTGCTAGAGCTGCCTACCATGTTGTGCTAGAGCTGCCTACCATGTTGTGATAGAGCTGCCTACCATGTTGTGCTAGAGCTGCCTACCATGTTGTGCTAGAGCTGCCTACCATGTTGTGCTAGCGCCTGTATTAGCCACAGGTTCGTCTTCTTCAAGTCATCATGGCATGTATTCACGAGTTCCTTCGCGTGTGGCGAACCGTGTACAGCCACAATAGCCCAAAACGCTTCATGGCAGCGCATTGCTAAGACACATCCAGAACAAGAGAGATGTAAAAAGCATTAGAACACTGTCATGAAGTGACTAGGCTACAAAGACACTACACCTGCGCAACACAGCAGTAACCAGCTAGACGGCAGCGAGGCGGCAGCTAGACGTGGAAGGCGATAGCGCGAAGGAAAGCAACTGGTCTCTGAGCGCAGAACTCTCGATAAGATAGCAGTGGCGTTCGACCAATCAGCAGTCGTCTTCTGAAATCAAGGTCACTACTGATAAAGTACGACGAAATCAAGGTCAGTAGTGATAAATATCCTTCAAAACTACATCGGGTACCCGTACCCGTCTGAAACTCAAACGGACGGGTATGGACGGCCGGTTTTCGGGTACCCGTTGCGAGCTCTGTCGGCAGCTGTCCAGTCGAAGGGCAGGTGCGGCAGTCATGGTGGCGGCACCCGATGCTCCGAAGATGGCTGTAGCAAGGTGCCAACGTGGAAGGGCAAGTGTCTGCAGCATGGAGGCAGGATAATCTGCTCGACCGATGGATGCTTTAAAACTGTCACGGCGCGAGACGGCAAGTGCTTCGACCACGACGGACGCCAGCAATGCACGTACCCAACATGTCGAAAACGACTTCGGGACACTGATCGATGTCCTGAACATCGTCAGCGTACTGGTTGCTCACACTCTGGATGCACCAACCAGGCGCAACCAAAATCGGATCGATGCTCTGAGCATAGTGGAGTCAGACAATGCTCAACGCCAGGTTGTGGGCAACGCGCCACTCATAGGACGGGTCTGTACGCGGAACATCGGGGCATCACGTTGTGCTCGCATCCAGGATGCACTCGTCACCCCAAATCGTCAAAAGGTTTCTGCAGTCAGCACGGTCGCGGCAAACAATGTTTATACCCAGGCTGCACTGCGCGCGCTGATTTTACCCATGTATGCGCTGAGCATGGCGCTACCCCGTGCTCCCACCCCAACTGTACGCGAATGGCCTACGTCAAGGACAAATGCAATTTACATGGGGCCAGGCGGTGCAAACATGAAGGGTGTGAGAAGCAAGCGAAACTCAGGGGGCTGTGTATCGCCCACGGAGGGGTTAGAAATTGCTCGCAGGAGGGGTGCACGAAGCGAGCCGAAAGGGGCGGTAATTGTATCAAGCATGGCGGGGAAACCAGGTGCCAAGTATCGGGATGCAAGGCACCAACTTTCAGGCAGACCAAGTGCTATGCGCACCGAGCAAAGTGTAAACAGTGAATACGAAGTATCCTTCGGAAGCAATGATGGTAGTATTCAATCCAGCCAATGAAATATCAAATGCTACACTAAATAGAGCTAGACTAGCCCTCTTGTCTGCCTGCATCCATCGTTATATACTCACTACAAGTGGATTTACGCAATGAAGGACTCGTACTTGGCCGGGTTCCAGTCCGGGAAGAACTTGGCCACCGTGTCCGCCACCTCCTGCTCCGTGCCCACGACGCCGCGACCCTCCTCGAAGATGGTCGTCAGGAACGCCACGAAGTCCGTGTTGAAGTTCTTCTTGTTCTCCTCGTAGTCGACGTGGCGCACCTCGATCTTCTTGCCCAGCTTCTTCTCGGCGAGGTCGCGGATCTGCAGCGGCGACAGGCGCTCGGCCTCGAACGGCAGCCTGGCGCCCTCCAGCGCGCTCTTGGGCGCCGTCGACAGCACGTGCGCCACGAAGCGCCCCACGTCCGTGCGCGAGGTGATGCTGAAGGCTGTCTCGCCCTTGCCCACGACGTTCATGTAGCCCTCGTCGTAGTGGTAGCCCAGGAAGTAGGGCAGGAACTCGGCGAACAGGCCCGTGTAGAAGATGGTGAAGGGCAGCTCGTGCTGCGTCAGCAGGTCCTGCACCTCCTTCTTGGTCGCGTTCGGGCCCTCGGTGACCTTGACGCCGTACTCGGCCGGCACGAAGAGCTGGATGCCCGCCGCCTTGGCCGCCGGCACGATGGCCTTCTGCACGTCCATGTTGTAGGGCGACACGGTGCTCACGGCCACCTCGCTGCCGGCCAGCGCCTTCTTGACGGCGTCCGCGTCGTCGTACGAGACCTGCACGAGCGTGGCGCCGCGCGCCTTGAAGGCCTGCAGCTCCGGCTTGCTCTCGTCGCGCGTAAGGACGGTCACGGACACGGCCTCGCCCTTCTTGAGCAGCTCGTCCGCGACGGTGCCGCCGACGCCGCCGGCTCCGATGATGGCGAACTTGGTGTAGGCAGACATGGTAGTGGAAAGTAGAGTGGGGGTGGAGTGGAGTGGGGTGGTTCGACTTGCGTCGTTGGAGGAATTTTGGATAATGAGATGGCAACACTCGCGTCAAGGTCGCACTATGGTCAGGGACGCGGAGCTGATTGTGTCCATGTTAGCGCTGTTGGATGCCCACCTGATCTACTGAATGCTCGTGTTATACGGTAGAGTAATATGGAGCTCCTGTGGCTGCTGACGTACTTGAGTTCAAGGCGAGATTATGGGAATACCATAGATAATGTATCCGAAAATAAGCATTCCAAAAGTGTGACCGAAAATAAGAATCCATTCACTGAAATCTTTTTCATAACGGGTTTTGCGTGTTTTTCAAAAGCGCAAATGTCGTAAGCTACTGCACAACATTTGCAGAGCTTTCGCGCGTGCGTAAGTGGTATTCATGCTGCTTTCGGAAATATGTACAGAAGTAGGTAGTTGTGTTCGATTCAGACCTTTGTCCTATCTTACACTCCGTAGTCTACGTGGAACAGCAACGTATCTCCATACATTGCACTGCGTGCACCCCAAGCAGCTTCTTTTATCTCTTCGACTGTGTCGTAGAGCTTTAAGCGGCTTGAGAGCTTGAGCCATCCCCCCAAGGAATGATGACTACACACTTATCACCTCGTTGGAAGTTGCCACAGTAACACTCTGTTTGGGTGTGTGGTCCCAAGGTACTGGCTCCGTGGATGAGTCTCTTCATCACTGTCGATACAAAAGCTTTTCACAACTCTTATTTACTTCGCCCTGAATTCTTGCGAAGCCGCTACGAGGCAGTCTACAGCTGCGTCGACGCGAGGCCATCGACGAAGAACCGCTCCCGCCTCTGATAGGTGCGGCGAGCGATTTGCTGTTTAATCTATCTACGGGTGTTGAAGTGTCATGTCGAAGCTGATTATTACCCATCTATGGTATTCGCAAATTTCAGATCCCGGACTTTTTTTTCTCAAGACACGTGCTCTTGTTTTTGGGGTCACAAGTTTATTTTCGGCTTCTACTTACGGTGGTCCGTCATCTCGACGTACGTCAGCAGCTCTAACCAGATTATTGACGAGCTTTCAGTGACATTCGAAAGTCCGCACAGTCCCCTACTGGTAGGTCGCTCCCACGCCAACCTGTGACCATGACGCCATCTCAATCTCCAAAACTCCTCCAACGACGCAAGTCGAACCACCCCACTCCACTCCACCCCCACTCTACTTTACACTACCATGTCTGCCTACACCAAGTTCGCCATCATCGGAGCCGGCGGCGTCGGCGGCACCGTCGCGGACGAGCTGCTCAAGAAGGGCGAGGCCGTGTCCGTGACCGTCCTTACGCGCGACGAGAGCAAGCCGGAGCTGCAGGCCTTCAAGGCGCGCGGCGCCACGCTCGTGCAGGTCTCGTACGACGACGCGGACGCCGTCAAGAAGGCGCTGGCCGGCAGCGAGGTGGCCGTGAGCACCGTGTCGCCCTACAACATGGACGTGCAGAAGGCCATCGTGCCGGCGGCCAAGGCGGCGGGCATCCAGCTCTTCGTGCCGGCCGAGTACGGCGTCAAGGTCACCGAGGGCCCGAACGCGACCAAGAAGGAGGTGCAGGACCTGCTGACGCAGCACGAGCTGCCCTTCACCATCTTCTACACGGGCCTGTTCGCCGAGTTCCTGCCCTACTTCCTGGGCTACCACTACGACGAGGGCTACATGAACGTCGTGGGTAAGGGCGAGACAGCCTTCAGCATCACCTCGCGCACGGACGTGGGGCGCTTCGTGGCGCACGTGCTGTCGACGGCGCCCAAGAGCGCGCTGGAGGGCGCCAGGCTGCCGTTCGAGGCCGAGCGCCTGTCGCCGCTGCAGATCTGCGACCTCGCCGAGAAGAAGCTGGGCAAGAAGATCGAGGTGCGCCACGTCGACTACGAGGAGAACAAGAAGAACTTCAACACGGACTTCGTGGCGTTCCTGACGACCATCTTCGAGGAGGGCCGCGGCGTCGTGGGCACGGAGCAGGAGGTGGCGGACACGGTGGCCAAGTTCTTCCCGGACTGGAACCCGACCAAGTACGAGTCTGTTACCCGCCAGCGGGTAGTGACAGTAGCAACGGAGCAGTTAGGAGGCGAAGCAGTTAGGAAACTCCAAGAGCAGAAACGGACGCCGCTCCAGTTAGGCGTCCTGCAGGCTAGATCTCCTTTTCAATGCTCACTTCAGATTTCTACTACTAGAGCTCAAGTCAAACAGGGAACAGAGTCCTTCATTGCGTAAATCCACTGGTAGTGAGTATATAACGATGGATGCAGGCAGACAAGAGGCCTAGTCCAGCTTTATTTGGTGTAGCATTTGATATTTCTTTGGCTGGATTGAATACTACCATCAATGCTTCCGAAGGACACTGTTTACACTTTGCTCGATGCGCATAGCACTTGGTCTGCCTGTAAGTTGGTGCCTTGCATCCCGATACTTTGCACCGGGTGCTTAATTAGCATTCTCAGTTGACGTGGTTGCTACGTTTTCCTTGCTAATACCTTCTTCCTAATTAGTATTTGCTTCTGGTGGTTAAAAGCAAAAGACCAGACTGTAGTGTAGACTCTGTAGCTAGATGCACTTGCAGGGTATCAGTATCGAGTCTTAAAGCGCCAGATGTACACCGTCCTCTCATCGCTTAGTAATAAAACTATGCTTAACCCTCTAACTTGGCGAAGTCGACAGTAGTATAAGAACCGAAGATGTATTTTATCCTTAGCGCTGACAACCAGCTGCCTAAGTGAACAATGTCTGATCGTCGGCCATGCCCTCAGTTCGTGTTTAGCTAGTTGAAACTTAACCTATATCCCCCGCGTCTCACTCAATCCAAGCATGGACCAAGACCGCTTCACGGTGAACCCATTCCCAGGACTACAGATCCCGGCAAACGACCAGGCCCAATTACAAGAGCTCGCCAGCTCTCTCCTGCAGTCCAAGATCGACGACTACAACGCGTACGTCTTGGCGCAGCGCAGGGTCGACTCTCGGCACTAGAAGCAGATCAAGGAGCGTGAAGGACTCGTCGCGTATGCGGAGCGACCGGAGTCTTCCCCGGCCGGTACTGGTTCACTCTCGGGCTCAGGTCTGCCAATGGTGCTGTGTGTCGGCACCATGAAGGGCAACCTGAACGACCTCATGTATGGAGTGGTAGGCAAAGACTTGAAGGCGATGCGCCTCATCGCCTCGTACACTAACAACCTCAGTGCGGGTGCTGTGCTGGACCCGATCATCCAGCCGACGATCCAAGACCGGTACCACACGCTAACGATCAAGTGGATGGAGCTCGACTTCCCCTTAGCGTCGACGAACCTGGTCAAGAACCGCGACTATGTGTGCTTAGAAGGCACGGGTTTCGTCACAGCGCAGAATGGAGATCGGCTCGGCTACCACCTGCTGCACTCGGTCAGCTTTGAGCAGACGCCGGAGCTGCCCAACCGCGTGCGCGGCAACGTCTCGATCATCGGCATGTGGCACCAGGCCGGGCCTAACACCATCGAGATGTACGGCACGGGCATCTTCGACCCGTGCGGCGACATGATCCGCATGCTCGTCGTGCCAGGCATCGCCTCCGGGTTTATGTCGAGTGTCAACTACGTGCACTGCGGTCAGATGCGCAAGCTCTCGTTCATGCTCGAGAAGGCGTACGCCGAGTCCAAACTGCTTGGAACGCCCAGCAAAGACAACGAATGCGTGACGTGTTCGGCGTCGGGCCGGCGCAAGAGAGACTTCGCCAGGAGCAACAGCACCTGCAAGCTCTGCTTCGGCCACGTCGTCCAGAAGCTGAGCTTTGAGAATCACGACCTGCAGCTGCAGAAGCGCAAGGTGACGTTCTGTACCAAGTGCATCGGCTCGGTGGTGAGTATGAACGCGATGGACTGTGCGCGTGCGAAGGTATTGGGAGTGCAGAAAGGTGGTGCTCGGTCTAGTATCGGGACCGACGGCTCGATGCGGAGTGGGGAGTTTCCCACCGATCTATCGTACGTGAGCAGCTCGTAAGAATGCGTGGTAGTAGTATTTACCCGCGTGTGAGTCGGAGGGGAGCAGTCTGCCCTGCCACATCAAAGTTAACGTGCGTGCTTCTTGGTTTACTTGTTGATCAAATAGTTTATTGCCGAATAATTTATTGACTCGAGTTTGGCCCCCTCGTAAAATAAAATAACCGATTTTACCGAATATAAGGCGGTCTTCTAATTCTCAGCAAACCGAACGATTCTGACGAGGGGACTTGTATTCGGGTGAGGACTTATATTTCATGGAAGCGTTGCATCAAGGTTGGTTCTGTACTAAGGAAGATCTACTTTTCTTGGTTAAATTCTCTACGAGCTCGCAAAGGAGCGTCTCGCTCGTTGTAAGAACCCCAAGATCATCGCATTGGTTCGTCTGAAAGAATTGGTGCCGTTCTCATCTACGACTGACACGCTGGCCAAGTCGAGATGCCAAGAAGTTTTGCCTAGGCTTAGGTAGGGCCGCTAAATCAGGGTGCCTGGAGGTACGCTCAAGCTCACATCGATAAACTTTTGGGAAAGAAGCAGTCCCTCGAGTGCATTAGCCGTGGGGGTTTAACCGCTTCTGCTATCTGTTTGCCCTGCACTTGCAGCAGCAGCAGCTTAAAATGGTTTTGACACTTTGGGCTGCACAAGTAAGTTCTAGGCCGTGCAAGACGCTGCAAAGGCGCAAGTAGGCGTTCAATGCTCGTCACGAAAAAGATAAACAGTCGTTCAGTTTCATCTTGTTTTAGCAGTTTACAGGTAGATCTTCGTCCAAGACAACAATGCTGATGGAGTGCATGTAGCGAGATCGGTACTATTCGTTGCTTTTTCCAGGTACATAGGGTTGGAATGAGTTCGAGCTCCAAAGCAAACAGAGTTTGGGCGAACATTTAAAAACTAAATGTTCGAGTAAGCTTACATTTATAAGAAATAGATGTCCGGTCTTGTATTTGATACAGGACTTCTGTTTTCAGGCACTCCAACCAATTCCTGACCGGACTTCTATTTCCTACAGCCTGTAGGCTACAGTTCTTGTATTCGGGGAAATCCGTTAAGTATTTTTCCGAGCTCTGGGTATTATCAGCTATAGGGGCGAGCACCTTTCAGCATGATTCGCGCCTTTTAGCATTGTTCTCTGAAATTTATTTCAGAGTCTACCGGTGGTACCACTTTCCGCGCAATTTTTATAAATCAAAATTTATACTGGGATAGCAGTGGCCGATAGGTTAATTCGCGCCTCGGTAACTGAAGTCAGTAAACTGAGGCCGGTATCGTGGTCCTTTGTCACTGGCTGTCTTTCTCCTGGTGACCCGGTAACTGGAGCTGGTAACTGAGTCCGATCTCGAGTCACTTGACTTCAGCCATTCGCATTCTAAAGCAACCGGCACCTACGTACGTACCTATCCCCCTGCTTTTCCTTTATCTCGCGAACTATTGCTCAGTACAGCCACAAGTTCCCTACACTAACATGGTCGTGCGTTTTTCGCCATAATTCGCCACTATCAGGTTCACTACGACGCTGAATTCGAGACGTGGTTTCGGCTGACTGTTGTAGTTGATGTCGCAGGCCGTGTCTACCTCGGTCTCGCTGATAGGCGCCATGGGACTACAGCTATTGTGCAATTTCACATTCTACCACTAAACCAAGCAGCCGGCCTACGTACCTAGCCACCGCACTAGGGCCCCCCAAAGGCTAGGATAGGGGTCTTTTGACCGTATCTGTAGTTGTTTTGTTTTTAGTTTATAGCAGGCTTTTTATCATTACCCATTGGCGTCTCCTGCGCCTGCTTCGCAGCCGCAGCATCTGCCTGGTAATGCGATCTGAAAAGTAGATACTGTCTAGTAAGTTTGGAGCGGTATGAGGACAACACGAGTTTTAACTACGAAATACAAATGCAGTAGCTACAAGACCGAATGTGTGACCGCAGGAGACACTAACTCTATGTCTGTAGTATAGCCCTCAATTATATCAAACTTTGACATTGAGCAGACTATTGTTTTTAGAAATCCTTAAATTTCAAAGCTTACGACTACGTTAATGGCCCCACGACCGCTACGTGCGACGATATTGCAGCTGGGGGTGTGTGTATACGGCGCGCATCTTGGCGCAAGAAGTCGTGGTCTACAGATAATTTTCAGGGTACAAACAATGCAAAGAAAACAAAACGCAACGTTAACTATGATACAAGATATTCAATGCTCCAGGTTTCTCATAAAGGTCGTCCATGAAGCTGATAGTTCTTCCTCTCACTTGCTAGGCAAGAGAGGCGACGAGTTTGAGGTTGCGCTCGCACGCCTTGATAGTCGTCGTAATACTACTGCTGCGGTGAAAGTTCTGGCTGCCCCCGTAAATTTGCTATCCCAGCCTATGCGTAGCCCTAGTCGATACCCTCTTTGCCTGATAGTATACATGTATTGTGCCTTTCACTTCTTTTGGCAAATCGGACTTCGGAAAGTGCTCGCTTAGAGAGAGGGCTAGGTTATTACGTCTGTTTTGACGGTGATTGGCACCACGAATTACCCACGTACTTAAAATAACATCAAATTTTACCCAGTCACAGTAGCGGAATTCTCAAATTCCCTCCAATTATATAGCTTCATACTACACTCTTGTGAAGACCTACGGAGCTAGTCACAAGCTCGGGAAAAGCTTGAATGGCCGACACTCACCCGGCCATTTTAGGTTTTCGTCGCTACGGAAGAGTTAAAGATGACCTACTCAATTGACATGCGTTAGAGAGGGATCGTGCTCATGTACGTATATTCCATAGACACAGCGACAGTAGCTAGTGTTCTAGGTCTATCGGTGCGTAGTTTAGGCCGCTGGTACCGTCGCTTTCGTACGACAGGAAACGTACTGAAGAATGAACCAAGGGCCAAGACGTCAAGATGGCCAAGTGAGGTGTGTGCATTTGTACGATCGTATGTACAAAACCACCCTTGCTTCTACTTCGAGGAGCTGCGCCTCGAGCTGCGAGCTAACTTCCGAGACACGATCAGCCTGTCGGACTCAACTATCTGCCGAGCACTTCGCTTCGACCTCAACCTAACCAGGAAGGTGCTCACAAAGCGGGCACGAGAATGTGTGCCTAGTGAGCGCCGTGAGTATGTCGCTCGGCTTCTGCCCTTCTATAGTGGCCCCGACCAGCTCGTCTTCATTGACGAAACGTCCAAGGATGTAAGGTATATTTCATACTTGAAGTTTTATTACTGGGAATTACTGACCTAACCAAATCGATGCCTATCTTAATGCTCGCTAGATCTCTTCTTCGTCGGTATGGCTGGTCAACCCGGCATACCCCTGCCCAAGTGACCCTACCGTTCAGTAGGGGAAAACGAGTGTCCATTTTGGCCGCAATGGACGTGCAGGGCTTCTTTGGGTGGGGCAATGTGGAGGGTACGTTCACGCGTGTTGATTTCCATAACGTGTTTAAGGAAAAAATCATCCTATTCCTCCACCCATGGCCTTTGCCGCGCTCAATTGTGATCATGGACAATGCCAAGATCCACATGTAGAAGGAACTTCAAGAGCTCATCCACGCAACAGGGGCTTTATTATTCTTTTTGCCCCCGTATTCGCCAGGAGAGTGGTTGCTGCACCCGTCTACTGGAGTCATCTTTTGAATTGTCCGCACCAATAACCTAACCACGCTTCTGACCTCCATCCGAACTTCGTATACGCGGTATACTTTCGACTTTCAACCATTCATTCGTAAAACTGCGGCGAGCCGCCACACGCATGAATCCCCCCGCCGCGCGGTCGCCCTGTTGGCCGTACAAGCATGCGCATGATGTCGACGACTACCGGTAGCGCCTAGTGGTGCTGCAGCGACACCTCGTGGCGACGATGACGTGGAGCGCTCCCTGACTGGCTGCAAGACTGCGGTCGACGCAACACAAAAGGCGTCAGAGCCCCCCCCTTCCTCCCTGCGCGCGTTTGAAGAGATGCACGAGCATCAGGCCACCTGTCAGTCCTGTCAGGCAAGTGACTGTTCGGGGGAGATCTACGCATTACTTGGTGTATTCATACTCGTGTCTGTACGCGCAGCGGCCAGCTTTAACCGGCGGAGACAGAAGGCACTTCCTGCTCCGCTTTTAAACAGCTTTACCAGGAGAACAAGCGAAAGAGCGCAAGCAGAATGCGTAAGACTTCAGCGTTTGGGATCAGTTCGAGGGCGGGGCTCGCTATGGCTATCGTCAGTCGGGTACAGCGGTATCAGTCGGGGAAAATAAGTTTCCAGTCGGGCGGTCGGGTACGGTGACGGGTGACGGTGTTCTCAGTCGGGTACCGGTGGTGATGTTTGTTGTTTGCGTGGCTAGGTCAACGCATGCGCTCAAGTTGTTTACCTGTACAAGACTACAGCTAGTGGCGTGGCCACAACAATCTTGCGAGCTGTTGGTAGGAGTTAACGTAAGAGAACGATGGAAAAATCAATGTAATGGACTGTCCGAGATGTGTAGTGTCCTGTACTGTTCGAAAATTCGCTCCCCGTAAGCTATGCACTTAGTCATTTCACTTAGAGGCCTCAGAGAGACCATTTGCAACCGAAGCAAAGCATAGGTCTGCAATATTCGGCGCGTGGGCCGGTAGGTATGCCTAAGTAGGAGTTTCTATCTAATCCAGATACCTCGCCTGGCCGAGCCGAGGACTTAGCGTAAGGCTCGAGGGGGTGGGGGAGGTCGCGCAGCGGCGCCCCTCGAAGTGCCGTTGCTAAGTCTACAGGCGAGAACCAACGTGAGAATGTCCTACCCTCTTTAACATCAAGCAACAAGTGCTTAGTCGCTTTGGTGGTCGGCATTGGGCCTTCTCGAACACTCTTCATCTAACCGGTCTATACATGGAGTATACAACTTGCTTCAGTTTTGGCCGGTTCTTGACGGTCGTGGTCGGGCGCAAACGGGTACAATAGTCTCGTCACAGCCTAGTTTTCCATATGGTGGACGGGTGCAGCAACAAGTGCCATTCGCCAGACCTGAACCCGATTGAAGTGGGGTTTTCCCTCCTAAAGCGCTGGATTCAGCGGCACGCCAACATGGCATTTCGCGAAGACCCACTTGCCGTGCTGAATGTAGCGATGTACAAGTGTACTAGACAGAAAGAAGAAGTGGGGAAAAACTTATATAGTCATTGCGGATACAAACCAAATGACTGAACGATAACAAGCTAATCTAGTACACACGCTCGTTCGAATGTGTGTGGTTTTCCTCTTATTGCTCCATCGATTCGACATTCGGGTCTCTGTGCTCCTTAGAAACGCCTGCTTGCCTCACCGTAATAGCTTCGCTCTGCATTGGAGTCGCGTCACGAGGCTAGCATCCTGACTCAGCAGTAGAGATCTAGAATCAGAAGGGGCCTCCTATGTCTGAGCAAAGCAAGCGCAAAATCGAGAAGCACACACACACCATCAAGCCAAAGGCACATACACTGACTCCCAATGGTCGCTGCTCCGCATTACCAGCTGTGCTTACCCTTGTCGCCTCTGTGGACACGTGTACGCAAGTCACATGCGCACCGACATGCCTTTTAGTCGCGCTCACCCTCACCCTCACTGCATCTGCGGATAGGCACACACAGCCCACAACCACGCGCACATTGCCTCTCAGCGCAGGCTGCGTCGCGCCACCAGCTGCGCTCGTCCTCGCCTCCTTTATATCTGAGCACTCACAGCCCGCAAAACGCGCACATTGCCTCTCAGCGCAGACCGCTTCTCGTCACCAGCTGCGCTCGTCCTCGCCTCCTTTGTATCTGAGCACACACAGGCCACAATCACACGAATACACTATCGAGCATATCACCCCTCAACCGCAAGTTGATTTGCATTTGTAGTTACCCGCTGGGCACTCCCTAAGATCAGCCCCCACTACGCTTTTTGACAAAACTTTAGTCCGACACAAATTTACATTTGTGAATTACAATTTTGACCTAAACTGGGTAGTGTTTGCGGATGCCCTGCACGAGGCCGTCAAGGTACTGGCACTTCGGGACAGTGCCGTTGAAGTACCAGGACTTCCACAGGTACATGTCCAGGTACTGGTCCAGGCGCTCCTTGGGGACACCGCGCATAGCCTTGATGTAGCGCTTCACGCGCACTTCCCACGTCCCTTTAATGCGGTTCGTATGGCCCCCCGTCTTGGGGTCCACAAAGAACTTGTCGTGGTTGACCCACTTGTGGGTGTAGTTCTTGCCCTTTAGCCACTTGTTGTTCTCCAACGTATGCTTCCCGTTGACAGAAACATACGAGGAGAACTGGTCGGAGATGATGGTCGACCCGGCCATGATATGCTTACCGATGAGAGGAGACAGCGTCTTCTTTTTGCGGTCGGGGCCGGTGACGATGCCGAACCACCGCCCCGTGGCCCGATCGACACCGCCGAAGAGCCAGTAGTCCTCGTGCTGCTGCCGCGCCCGAACTTGGACTTCTTCTTTAGGCTCGTCTCGTCGATTTCGACGGTGTGGCCCACGCCGCCGATCTGTATAAACATAGTTAGTACATATGTCACATATTGTAGTCGAATATTAGGTGTACATACCATCATGCTGCACTGCAGCATATCGGCGGAGCAGATGTCGCGGCAGAAGCCGTACCAGTCGATCGCCGTGACGTCTGAGATGCCCAGGAACTGCTCCGCGGTTCCGACGGGGATGTCCGACGCCCAGAAGAACATCAGGCGCAGCACAGTGCGGTACGCTCGCTTGGTGCCGTCGAAGAAGGAGCCTTTCTTCAGGCTGAGCTCCTTGTCCGGGTGGCCGCTACGGCGGCATCGCCAGCGGCGGTCCTCGTCCTCCGTGCCGCGTTTGTAGACGCACAGGTTCATGGGATAGTCGCAGTACTCGCATGTCTTAGAGGAGGCGAGGAGGCCGTGACGCAATAGGAAGCTCACGGCGGTGTCCTCGCTCGTGGTCGCCACCATTATGTTGTCGAACGTGAACGGGGACACCGCCGGATCCGCCACCGCGTACGCGTACGCGTACGGCGAGTTGTACACGACGGGCTCCTTGGGCGCGATGTTGGGCGGCGCTCTGGATGCGCGCACGCGCTCCGACCGTGATGCGCGCTTGCGTGGCGCGCGTGCAGAGCGGGGAGTCGTCTTCGAGGATGATTTCTTGACTGGGGCCATGGTGCGTTGCGTGTCTTGGGGCGGGGGCTCTTTTTCGAAAGTGATAGTGTTTGTGTTGTGGCGGCATCGCCGTGGGCGCGAAAAGTGGGGGCGCTCCTCGGGTTCACACGAGTACGCGCGCAACGCAAACTGATACATGGGTGCACTTAATATGTAATTTGTGTCGGACTAAAGTTTTGTCAAAAAGCGTAGTGGGGGCTGATCTTAGGGAGTGCCACCCGCTGCTGAGTCACTTGCCGCTTGTATACGGCTGTTGCTCAGCTCGAACCAGACGCCACACGCGCGCACGTAGTAATACCCACGGGAGGAATCGAACCTCCGCCCCCCGCAAGCGAGACTCTGCCGTTGAGCTACGTTGGTGCTGGAGTGTACGCTCGCGATTCGGTCTGGTCGCGAGAGCGGGCGGTTGCGCTTGCACTTGAGCCGGCGAGAGTTGGAGTGTGGGCCACGTGTGTTTGTCGGCTGTCCAGTCACATGTTTTATCCAATCAGGACAGCCGTTAATTAAGCCAATTTTTACTGGTCCATCTTTCAGATTAGGAAGACCAATCTATGCTCGGAACCCCTCCGGAGCTATCTCTGAACGTGGCAAAACGACAGAAAGGCACAATATATGCTGTAGGGGTCACCCATTTCTCAAACGTTGTAAATATAGTTTTTTTGGTAAAAAAAACACAGCCTTCGTAATTTAAAGGATCTGATTGTCTGGAAATCTTATAGATAAGTCTACAAAGTGAAAAATTGGTGATCCAATGCATGATGAAAACCCTGTAATATTGTATACCTCTCTTCGTTTTTAATCACCCACGTAAATGTTGACAACGCGTCCTGAGGGCTGAGGGCTGCCTTCGATACTTCACAGGCGAAATTTCAGAGCTTCTTCGTGCACAGCACGACTTTGTCTTCATATTGTGAACACCTACAATTGCACCGAGGAGCGCCAACGGCTCATCGCGTACGTGAATCGCCCAGAGAGTCTTCCCCCGCCGCGGCCGGTTCTCTTGTGTAGGTGATTATGGAGTGCGGCAATTACGAGGTTGTTTATGAAGGCTAAGTGTTGACGGGGTGCGCGGTATCTATGAAGCTGCCATTCATAGCCTGCACTATACGGACCGACCTGTGCGCACACGTAGCGCAAAACGAAATGCACATGTGAGCGCGTACTGCGTCCGTGTACAGTACCCGCAGATAAAATGATCATGTATACGATGAAATCTAGTCCATGGAGAACTGGCTCACGAGAGCTACAGTATAGCCCATTGGCGAAATGGAGGTAAGCTTAACACTGTCCACGTAGTAATTGCAAGCAATGCATCCTAGCAAGTGAATGCTACTGGAGCGATTTCCGCAGCACACAGAAGGCTGCGAGAACCGCCATTAACTGTAAACCCACTCCTAGTACTACTGTTGTAGTCTAGCACCTCTATTATCACGACGCCGACCCCCTGTTTTTTTTTGCGGCCTTTTCAGCAGTTCACTTCGCTGCTGCACCACATATATGGTAAATCTAATGCATGTACATTTTCGTTGGAGATGCTCTTGTAGTCCTTTAGTTTAAGTACATGTAAAAAGGAACCAAATCGTTCCCGTGCTTCCTTCCGCATGGACATCTGCATTGAATTACATGTAGATAGTCGGCAAACGGCAGTGCAAGACTTGCCGTCAGTAGTTTCATTCCACAACTTTCCCTACGCGCCAAACCCTCCAAAGCAGAATCCTTCAAACACTCTGCGTGTGTGCTACGTCGCCGTTGGGGTGCTACTTATTTTTGAGGAACTTTTTCTTACTTCTGAGGAAGGGCTCGCCAAGTCTGACTTCTGAGGAAACTTCTAACTTCTGAGTACCTACGGTACAATGTCCATTTTCCGTAAGAAAATGAACATTACGTACGTGACTATCCATTCGGGCACATGCGCAAGGTACTCCGGGTCCCATCATCGCGCCCTCCGCTGCACTACGGGGCTCGACGGGAACCTACTCAGGTCGACCGCGGAACGCACGACCTCCGCTACGCTCCGGTGTGCATCCTGGTCGCATATAGAGATAGAACCTACTTCGCAGCGCAACTCCTCCGGCCTACGCGCCGTCCCCTGACAGACCTCCGCTTCGCTCCGGTTGTCAAGGAGCCTCTCTAAGGCCTCACCAAGCACCGCTGGGTTGGCGTCGCAACGTTTCCTCAGAAACCAGCGGTTGCAAGAGCGCGTACCGCAGGAGTAGCGATTTGTAGGTTTTACTCATTTTTCCGAGCAGAATATGCTTTCCTCAGAAATCAGCAGCGTTTCCTCATTTTTAAGGCCGTTCCTCGCCGTTGTAACTGTGGCGATGATGCTTGCCAACTGTGTCGAGGAGTCCACTGCCTATCAGTCGCAAGTCTCGAAACTCGCTGTCGCGTCCGGATACAACAAACGTTTCCTCAGAAGAATCAAGGCCAACGCAGCAAACGAAGAGCGATCGGGAGTGCCTGACGGTATCGAAAAAAATGATCGAAGTCTTGAGCGGCAAGAACAAGGAGCAGGCGTTTCACTTCATGCAGACTTCCTACCCGCACTTAACCATGGAAACGCGTATAACTAGAGGCGAAGCTTTGGTCTGGAAGGACAGTGTAGACTTCCTTTGTGTGCCTATATTTATAAACGTGGGGTAGGCAAGAATAATGTAACATGAAAATTGGTGGCAAGTTTTCAAACCCTGGTGTAGCGCCTTTAAAAAAATGGCGAAATTGCCGCGCAAAAGACACGAAAGAACTTAAAGGCGCGCTCGGCCGGGGGCATAGAAAAAATAAAACCCAAAACGGAAATAAATATCTTTGCCCCCGGCCGAGCGCGTTGAGGTCATGCATTCCAGCTATACATATTTACACAAGAAGGATTCATGGGGTATACCGTTGTCAATTTACAGACGCAGGAAAGAGTGCAATCCGTTAGTTGTTATTTCAATGATTTTGAGTAAATGTTAGCTTATAACGAAAAAAATGCAGCTATCCTAGTTATGATTTTCCGAATAAATTTCATAAATTTAAGAACTGCTCACTAGGGACACGCCACGGATACGGTCGACATTCTGAACATGCTGCGGATGAGGATCGCAACGCTTGCGGTCACGCTTCTTCGCATCGAAGCTCGCGGCAGGCTAGCAGCAGACGCACGCCGTACAGGCTGGGCTTCATTGTGCTGAATTAACCAGGCAACTGTCGACTGCTACTTCGCGGGGCGCTCGAGCTCCACTGTATGCAGGCATGTCGTTTGTTAGTTAACCAGGCTACTTAAGTACACAAGTGGACTCGGCGCCACTGCCGGTGATGTCGAGACCGGAGCCAAGTAAGGCCAGAAGTGTCCAGTTTGACCGACAAGTACAGCGTGCTGGGTGGTTGCGAACTCATTGAGCATTTTCCCAGGTCTATTGTGAAATTTCCGATATAGCGCCAAACTACCGATTAGATCAGTCCTACGCCCCGAGCTAAGCTATTCAGACTTGCTAAAGTATTTAACGAAGATCACCTTCAATTGCGAGTAGCTAATCTAGGTTGGAACGACCTCAGTCTTCGACAAGTGTATCATAGCAAAATCGTGTAGTGCTAAGAGTCTGATAGAGCGCTGACAAACTCGTTTTAAGGTCTAGTGATCTGCTAGCACACTTCGTAAATTTACAGCTCACTTTGCAATCTCCCCCGATCTGTTCAAGACTACCTGCTGTCACTCGACTTAGCCAACATGCGCGTTCTCAACCGCCTCCTGCTCGGGGCAACCATTCTTGCAAGCATCGCCAGTGTTTCGGCAGCTGCCGACACGAAGCAGACCCAGCTCCTGGCGGCCGCCCACTCAACGGAGGCGACTCTCTCGGGCAACACGCGTTTTCTAAGAAGTCACAAGACCCAGAAAATGGAGGCTGCGGAGGACGAAGAACGGAGTGTGAATGAACTTGCGGCCAAGCTGGACGACGTGCTTAACCACGTCAAGTCGGTGAAAGACCTGAGTCTTAACAAAGCGATGCACCACCTTCAGATGGCCAGGGTTCCTTTTGAGAAGCACGAAGCCATTCAACGATTCGTGACTCTTGACGCTGCCGAGCGTAAGATCGTTCTTGATATGATAGTTGCTAACAACGCGGCAAGGCGTGCAGTCCAGTAAGTGGGTGAAATATTCTTCATGGCGAATGGCGAATACACGGTTTTGATTCGAGTGTCATTAGCAGTTGACAAGTACATTTGTTCACCAGTCTGAGCCATCTGAAGTTTTTTTTCTTTTCCAATATAAAAGCTAAGATGCTGCATCGCGTTTGGACTTGATATACAGCTTATGCATATTGCACGCACTTCACGGTAAAGCAATCACTAGCAGGAGAACAAAACTTGACACTTAGCAACCATGAGTATCGTTGACTTTACCAGTCCATTGTTCTCCACAAAGTAAGCACCCGAGCTCGCAATCGGCGAAAATCGGGTACAGTACCCACCCGACGGAAAGGACTTGGTTTTCCCACCCGCGCTGAATTGTGTTCTATCAATAATGGCCAAATCCATGTACATGTATTCGAAAGCCCGAAATTGTGGGAAAGTTTCCGAGTATGAACCTCTCTTCCGTCCATCTGCTGGTGTGCACCACACCAGCAGATCCGCTTGACACGCATCGCAATCGCACTCTTCCACCCACCTGCCGACGATGGCGGGTCCCTCTTCCTCCTCTTCCTCCTCTTCCTCCACTTACAGGCCCTCGTTCCTGTGCGTGGACGTGGTGCTGCGCGAGTTCCCGCGCGTGGAGGCGCTGGACCACGTGGTGCAGCAGCTCAAGGCGCTGCTGGACGTGTCCAAGGTCCTGTCCGTGGCCGTGGCGGCGCAGCACCAGCACTTGGGCTCGCAGTCCCTAACGCTGTTAGAACACGCCGCGTTACGAGAGAAGAAGAAGCTCTCGAGCTGGTCGTCCGAGTTAAAGCGTGGTTACAAACAGTTTCAGTTCGAAACGGCGTTAAATAACGCCGCCGCGAGAGGCTTCTTCGCCGGCGTCAGGTGGCTGCGCTCCAAGTACTACCCCAAGGGCAAGTTTCGCGGCGCCGAGCGCGCCGCAATGTACAGTGGGGACCTGCAAATGTTACGCTATTTGCACGACGAGTTCAGTAATAAAATGGTGGAGGACGCGGCCGTGGACAGCCAAGACGCCGTGGCCCACGCGGCCGCCAATGGACGGCTGGACCTCGTGCAATGGTATTGCGAGATGAAGGGTCCTTACGCCTTCGGGTGGAGCGTCATGGACGCCGCCGTGGCGCACGACCACATGGACGTGGTGCAGTATCTGGACAGTGTGGTGGGCAACCGCTGCACCCGACGAGGACTGGAGCTGGCCGCTCGAAATGGACACTTGCGCGTGGTGCAGTGGCTCAACGACACACGGTACTACGAGATCCGCACGTTCCGGTCGCTGGAGAACGCGATTGCAGGAGGACACTTGCATCTGGTCAAGTACGTCATGGAGAACATCGTCGTGGCCTACACGTCGTGGACGCAGGCGGCGTTGACGGCCGCGGTGTCATTTGGACAGTGCCACATTCTGCAGTGGCTGCACGATCGAGCGTCCGCTGATGCCGCGGCGTACAACCGCCACTTCCGGTTCGAGATCCACACGAACGAACTGTACGCAGTGGCCAGAAACGGACATTTGGACGTGCTGAAGTGGCTGGACGCTCATAATTACCCGGTGCACTGCAGACGAGCTCATGCCGTTCGAGGAGCGGCCGCTGGTGGACACAAAGAAATTATCGAGTGGATGGAAGAGACTTTTGAGCGGTTACGTAGGCAGCTACATCGTATTCGCGTGGACGGAGCTGCGGGATACGGAGACCTTCAGTTCGTGCAGTGGCTTCACCATCAAGGATACCGATTCACAGCCCACGCCGTGGATGACGCTGCTGCGGGTGGATATATGTCCATTGTGCGGTGGCTGCACGAAAATGTCGAAAACGCCAGCTGTACTACGGCTGCAATGGATCGGGCCGCTGCAAATGGGCACCTGGATATCGTGATTTTCCTCCATCACAACAGGAAAGAAGGATGCACCACTGCGGCCATGGACGATGCGGCTCGCAACGGCCACTTTGAGGTTGTTAAATTTCTGTACAAGAACCGCAGCGAGTACTGTACGGCGATGGCAGGCGAATCTCGATCAGTGGCAGTGCTGGAGTTTTTGAAGACGAAGAACCGCCTGCGCTCTCGGCTGCCTAAAACGACGGAAGCGGCGACAAGAGGCGACTTGGAGCTGTTGCAGTGGCTTTATGCTCATGACAGGAGGCACTTTGGCTACGAAGCTGTGGTTGATGAGGCCCGCGAGCGGAACCACTTCCTTCTCCTGCGCTGGCTGGAGGTCCTACCGGAAGCGGGCAGATAGATACTTCTAGGTATTAGTGTACTGAAATGAGAGTCCTCCGCATCGCTTCGTTTTTGAATGCACATGACAGGTCGGAAACCTGTGATTTCGGCGAATTTAACTCTTCAATAAGAGGAACATCGCCGTTGAGACCGACATGGATAGAAAGCCCTGCATCTAGTTTGGGTAATGCCGCTGTATGAAGCGCTAAATGTATGTAGATCTCGAGCGATTTATCCTCAAAGTTGGCGTTGCCTGGCGCCTCTGCGATGTTTCTTACCGTTATTTATGCAGCATATAAAAAGCTATATGCATTTGTGTGACCTTTCAGGAAGGGGTGAAAGATCGCGCATTACTAGCGACAAGATGACTGACAAATAGTAAGGGGGGAATGCACACCATGTCCTCGTTGCCGAACGGGACAAGAAAAAGAGAAGCCACTTTGGCATTACTCCTTTGATGGACATATTAGTAGATATGCAAAGTTTCAGCATCCCTAGACTCGCCAGGAAAAACCGAATTTATTATTTTCCCGAGATTCCCGTACATTGTTGAAGGGACGTCCAGTTAATACTTGCCCGCGGTAATTCTACAGTACCGTAGACAACCGTACGAATGGCGCTATCAAGGCTGAGGAATTCCAGAATGGCTTCGCACTTTTGCCTGGAGAGCCCGGTCTGCTGGAGATGGGTCATCACGCCTGTGAGTGATGTTTTGTTCATCGTATGCGGACCGCAACGAGCCGTCAACGAGCGACTTTCTACGTCCTCTGCGTCGCGTTTCACACTGCCACAGCTTTATTGAGCTGGCCTGCCCCAACGTTTGTAGTCTGCCGACGCTTGCCAGTACGGTGGCTGAGGCAGCCAGAACGATGTAGGACGCACGGTACAAGGCTGAAATATATTGCGAATTGGGTCTGTACCATAAAGCCAGTATTGTACGAAGGACGCACGACTAGAATGGTGACTAAAGGCATGCTTCTCTATCCAGCTCATCTTCGTACGCTGCGCCTACAGTTCTATTGTAGAAAATCCCACATTGCTGTGGAATACTCTTTGGAATATGCAAGTGTTTCCAGATCTGTGTACTGCTTCATAAAAAGAAGTGGAGAAGTGGGAACACAAAAATTACCTTTAAATTTAAAACTTACAGGTGTCTCAGCCCCAGGTCAGAATAACCCAGCCGCTTGTCACCCCTTCGCATTGCAACACTCTTGTTGTTGTCGTTGGAAAATACAGAATCTGCACGTACGTGCCAACAGAAACTCAGACAGATCATGAATTGCAGAGTCAGTTTCTTTGAAGATTTGCATCAACGAAACCCTGACACATTCCAAATACACACCACGTCCAACTATGTTTGTTTAATCATCGAACAGGTATCGCCTTCCAGATGCTAGTCGATCAATTCACAGAACATAGTGTACCCACATACTTCAAAGTAGCATCTTTTAACACTTTTTTTAAAAAAAGCAAGACAAGTGAACTTACCATATAGTATGATAAGTGACAACAATGTACCTCAATGCGAAAAGAAAAAGACAAGTGAATCATTTGTCTTGCATTTGAAATGATCGGTAATAAGAACATCTTCCTTTTATGTAATACGTGCCGACAACTAATGGAAATTTGTATGACTTTGGCAGAAGGCTACGTTTTCGTGACAGACTGGATAGTTATAGTATGGAAATCTTGATACTGCAGATTCATCAATCCGTTTGCGAGTTTGCACCAACAACTACACTGTTCACCCTAATTGGTCGTGTGACCTAAATAGTCGTGCACCTTTGGTAATCATTCCACCGGTTTTGAAAAATATTTTTAGTTTTATTAATACCTTAAATTGAGAAAAGAGACCGGTTTCGGGTAGATCTTGGCAATACAAATTGCGTGGTATATTTTGTTTTCAGTAAATACGAATTGTTTCCGAGAAAACTGAAATTCAAAACAGGGTGAGGCGCCCTTCAGGTCGTACATGGTAAATACGTCTTGTAGTCATGGCACGACTAATTAGGGTGAACGGTGTAGAAGAACGACTACACATGATACCCAAGAGCCAGTAATATATCACTTTGTGCGTGACCGTTTTCGTGCATCACTGCGAGCTGCTACTGGTAGTAGTATCTCTGAACATACCCAAGCTGAAAACAATGTTTGCTCTATCCCATTCTACGAGTGTATTTCCTGCAGCCAGGCGAAAAGAGCATGGCTACTTTACGCGTGTAGCGAAGATGTAGTACCAGATCATCACTTGCTCGATTGCAGCTTCGTCCTTGACGCCGCTGTCCCGCATTTCCTGAGCAGCCTGTTTCAAGCTAAACTTCCGAGTCTTCCAATCGTCAAAGGCCTGTACGAAAGTCTTGTCCATCTCCTCAGAGCTGATCTCATTCTTCGCGCCGTTAAGCTTCTTGAGATCAGCCGTGTCGTCAAGTTTCTTTGCATCCACCACGTCGTCCAGCTTCTTTGCGTCCACCACGTCATCCAGCTTGTTTAGGTTGTTCATTTCACTATTCATTTTGGGGGCCACGTCATCCAACTTCTCGCTGCCGAAGCTCTTGAACCAGTTGGCAATCATTTCCAAGTTGAACGCCCTCTCTTCTTCGCCGTCGCCGTCGTCTTGCATACCAGCGTGGGCTTCGCCGTGCTTCCCCAGGAATCTGCTGGTAGCGCCGGTCTCGCGTGTCCAGATCATCTTCGTTTGCTCCGTATTTGCGGTGGCCGAAGCAGCGTGAGCGCTAGCAAAAAAGGCCGCAGCGGCCAACAGCAAGAGGTGGTTAACGCGCATCGTAGTGAAGCTGTCTTCGTGGTCTGAGGAAGGCGAATTGCAGAATAGAGAGGTTTCGCAAAGCAACTTGTGGGAGTTAGCGACAATACATTCCCTACCCCTCTATAGAGACGTGTGTCTACAAGTTGTTCTCGACTCGTCTAGAACGTCTAGAACGCCTTGTACACGTTGGTACTTGAGGAGATACGGGTAAGCATTTTACAATCTCCCAGCAATCTTTACTATGGAAAAGCCAAGCCAAACGCACAACAACCCCGTGGAGGAGGCCCCACCAACGAAGCGTCGTAAAACGATGGTCCGCTTTACGGATGAGCTTCACTTCCAACTGATCCAGGAAGCTCAAGCGAGAAATCCGTATGGGGAAGACTACGGGAAGAAGTCCCAGGCTTGGGCTGATGTAGCTGCAGCTTTCGAAGTGGACGTCGACGGTCGCCGTTACCGCGAGCGCTGCAACCAGCTCTTAGATGCGTATGAGGCAAAGCAGAAGGCGGGTGAGAAACGAAGCGGGCCGTGTGAAGAGTACACGCCGAAGGACGAATGTCTAGCGGAGCTGCTGGAGATGCGCGAGATAGAGGCGCTGCTGAAGAACGACAAGAAGCAGCAGAAGGACCAGCAGCAGCAGGAGGACGAGCAAGCTAGCGCTATGCGCGACGCAGCCTTAGCTGGGATGAGCCGAGGAGGAGGGAAAGGTGGATCGCAGCAGCAGCAACTGGTTGCTTATCCCGAACGCCGCGACCAACTCGCTCAAGCACTGGAAGGGAAGAAGGTCGCCAACGAGGAGAAGCGGCTTGCGTTGGAGGAGCGACGCCTGGAACTGCAAGAGCTGCGAATGGAGCTTGAGCGAGACGAGCGACTTGCGTTTATTGAAATGTTAAAGGCTGTCGTCAGCAAGACTAGTTCGTAGTAGCTAGACTAAGATACTCCTCGAGGCTTGGCGGCTTAATTGAAAAGTATTTGCTGATCTGGTTGGGGTTGGAACAGTTGCGGAAGTTTGTCAGGAGTACACCGACCAAGTAGTGTTTCCACACAGGTGATAGATATAGTCTTTGACTCAGTCTCAGATCAAGAAACGGCCATAAGCGAATGATCCCTCCGAACCCCCACTCCACTGCCACGCGAACTTTACTCATAGCCGCATTGAATGCCTTTTGCGTATCACTCAGATTGGAGTCCTTGAAACCGACGTGCAGCGTTGGTTTGAGTGGGTAGGCAGGATCCCCATAGATGCAATACGGAAGTTCCCCGTCGTGATGTAAGACACGCGGAAGGCGCTCCAGCAGTCCACTCTGCCTTAAAAGCCAAGAGTCGTGACGACGTCCAACCGTAGGACCGTAAAAGTCGATGAATAGTCCGTCCGGCGCCATTACTCCTTGGTTTTTTAGCGCGTGTTTCCTCTTGTGTCCGTTGTAAACTTGTTTTTGGTTGCGCGTTGGGCGTTGGGCGTGCAATAGCACGCACAATGCCATCGATAAAACCAATGCATCTCGGCTCCGGTGCTCCACGTTGTGCCACAACAGCAGCGTACTCCTCCAATCGCGACGATGTAAGTAGCCCACATTCAATGGTGAGTAGGCATTTGTACTTGTCGTACACCAACCCCAGCATGAAGTTAAATATCATGCAGACAATAGGGGCGGACCGCCCGAAAAAGCGGCTTAAGTCTCCATAACGTCCCGGGTATGCCATGCGGCGCAAAGGCCCTCGACACCGGAGAAGACAGCTCGATTTGGGAGTTTATAGCTGCTGTCTAGGCGGAGTCGAAATAGGTCTCGCTTCCAGAAGCGAAAGTAGAACCGTGTTTCGTAGTCGTTGAGCGCGTTGATGTTAAAGCGTTCGCCGTAGGAAATGGACCGGGGAAGGTTGCTTGTGGACGACGTTCGAGCAGAGAGGAGACAAACCGCTTCTTCCTCTGAGAGCATGCCGAGCACGAGAAGGTCTTGTACGTAAGTAGAGTTCATCTTTGAAAATGCTACATACATACAAGTCTAAGTTGCGAAAGCTCGTTCTAGAACTTGGCAGAATAAATCTATGGCCGCTCTCTGTCAAATCTTTCGAACGGCTCTAACTTCCACAAGTTTAACTTGCGAAACCTCTCTAATGACCGGTAGAGCGCAACGACTGCAGATTAATCCGGTAAGTGTACGGTTTTGTCCCTAAACCGCATCCGATCTCATGATACATGTACCTGTAATACAGGTACCTGAGGTCCTGTATCGCGCAGATCCGGATAGTTGTTGTCTTCAAGAGCGAAAGTTTATTACAGTCACACCTCTATAAATGACATCCAGTTCGCTCGGTCTAATATTGTGTGTTCTGTTCCAAATTTCCACCCGAGCCAAATCTCCGGCCATCTCCGGGGCCACTAGGATTGGTTATAGGCACCCGTTTAAGTACGAATTGGCCTTGACATGCGGGACCTTGGACCATATGGTTTGGGCCCGGAGATTGGGTAAATGACTTGAGTTTTGTATTTGGCGATTGGAGCGGGGTCTCCAAACCGCCGCGATTTGGAATTTTTTTACCGGAATTCACAATACGCTGTTTCAGTTAAGGAATTGATCAGATAAAGAAATGGCTACACTTCTAATGGCTACATTTTCGTATGTTAGGTGCACAATAGATAGGTTTCGAAGCGTTCCTCACCCTCACTTTACCTTCACAGCCGTCTAAGTTCGCACTCGTTGCACTTTTTGCACACAGATCAGTGTGCAATCAGTGGGCAAATCCCTACATTTTGCAAAGCCACCAGAATTTGATCCTCAGATGCACCTGTACGAATTCATTGAGTTCACGTGCGAACTTTCCAATTCCGAACATTATCTATACAGGTAGACTGTACAACTGTATGCGCACCTATCTAGAGCAGCTTCCTGTACTCTGGTCCCGATTTTGCTCATTTTGCTCTGAGGGTGAAGGTGGGGTGAAGCGAATTTCGAAACCTATCTAATACAAGGGTTTTCCTTACCTGGTACCCCTCCAGCATTTTCGTACTCTTGTTTTGTTTCGTCTTCACACAAACAGAACTCAACCAATAACGGTAGGCGCGGTATTGTCTGTTCCTGCTCCTTCTTCTCATTGGTATTAGCAGAATCGCATCCCCTCAGGTTGTACGTGAGTTTCAATACAGCGAGGTTATTGGAATATTTGTTGTCCCGATATCCTGCCACCATGTAGCAGTTGTATCTTTTGCTTGGTATCTACTGCATAGCCCCTATAGTTGTCTCGACATCATAATATTTTAGTTTTTCGTAAAAAAATATATGTACGCTGCGCTGATTGTAAAATGCTGTGGCTAGCTTATTTATCAGTAGCTAGGTTGTCAAGGCTACAATACTAATATCAGAGCTAAGCAGGAAAAGCCGCAAGCTATAATACATGTACCTGATATATGCAGGCGACGCGTTTAAGCGCGGTGTTGTCGCTGCACTTGGCGAGTCTCGGGCCGAGGGTACTGTACATGCATGTTGATCGAAATTGCTAGGCTGCACATAATTACGAGACCGATGAGCGATTTATATTCCGATTATAATTGATACATCCCCGATTTATTAGTCTTCAAATCCGCATTGAGCGATGTTTAACCGGCTAATTCAGCAGTTTGAATTAGCCGGTTAAACATCGCTCCAACAATGGCGACCATTTAGAGAATAAAGAGATTTTTGATCAGTTATAGAACACCTATAGTGAAATCCATATAATCCCGTTTGCAGTCGAGGAATCCTAACCAGATAGGGAACACATAGTCAGTTAGAGGGGTTCATTTAGGGAGGTTAGAGGTGTTCATTTAGGGAGGTACCACTGTAAAGAGAGAAACGTAAGACCTCGGAAGCAAGTCTGCTCTAGCTACATGTATGTATACAACACCAGCTCTCTCCTAGTGCACGAAGCCACAGCCATTCACCTCAGTGTGCCCCGTAATCTTGTTGCCTGCATCATCAGCCCCGTAAAACACCATCGTCATAATCGTGCCCCGTAAGCAAAGTGACTCCACAATCTGAGACGGTCGAGCTGATAAGTAACACTTGCAGCTGCAACACCGCCCCCATCAGCTCGTACCGGTCATGTAACAAGGTTACACGAGAGTTACCCGCAGGGTTACGAAGTGGGTACACACTGTCTAACCTAAATTAGTAGGAGAATCAGTACATGGCGTCAGAGCCACGGATTATGCATATGACTAGGGTTCACTATGCTAGATAGTGAACCGGATACATTTACACCGTAGGCGGCTTTGCCGCAATAAAGGGAAATTCATTCAGTTTGGGATTTACACACTTAAGAGTTAAGGGTAGACTCTTGGAGTCCGTAAGGTGTACGGACTCGTACGTTCTGGTATTAGAACGGGCTATTTTAAGCTGAGACTCTGTGAGTCTGTTACGTCATCCTCTGACGCTAAAGCTACGGCAGCCCCGCTGCACTTGGTAGCACTCGTAGTCAATCCGACACCTGAGTCTGTATAGACTGACCCTCTGTGGAGAATGGAGCAGTTCGCTCAGTTGCCCCCGAAGCAGCAGGATGCGCTTAAAAAGCTTATGTCCTTGCTGGGCCCGGAGGGCGTGACGCAACTTGCGCAGCAAGGCCCCGACGCGGTAAACGCGCGTCTCGAGGCGTTTTCAAGCTACGAGAATTCTCTTCTAGAGCACCTCCAGCAGAGGATGGCGATGGCCGCGGCGCCCCAAGCGCCCGCTTCGTCATTCGACGCGGGAACAAGACCCAAGCCGCTCATGTTGAGCGTGAAGACCTTCGAAGGCGTGGAGGGTGAAAGCTTGATGCTTTGGACCCGTGAGGTTGAGATGGCTATGAGCTCAGCTCTACTCCGGACGGAGTCGCAGCGCGTGACACTAGCTATCCCGAAGCTCGGTGGGCGAGCGAGAGAGTGGGCGCTAACGTCCGGGACGTCGGTCGAGGTGGCCTTCCCGACGTGGGACCAGTTGAAACAGCAATTGTCCCGAGTGTTTGCTCCGCCTAACGAGGCGTATCGCGGGCGCTCACGCTTCCTA